AAAAAGGAAGCCGACCACCTTGGGCACCAACGATCATGCCTTTGCTGAACTTGATGGAATCCGTGGTGGTCCAGAAAATGAAGCTGAGTCAAACGCCAGGTTCAAAGCCTTGCCTGTACAACAAAGATGTGATGTGATCAATCAAAAACTTGGTCGGCATGGGCTCCTGGTTTGAAAGAAGCGATTGTGGTGGCTATCCAGCGTCAGGTGCCAAGAGCTGAAGGGGATCTTTCTCCACTGCAATCTCAACCCCCAAGCTTAGCCGGTGGCACACCTGGGTGTGAACTTGATTCAACACAACCACGAGCACTCAGGTCACTGTCACAGCTTGCACTTGATGCCTGGAAGACCCATTTTCTATGTGATCATCTTCCTGCGAGAAGAGATTGTGTTCATTGTGTGCGGTCACAGAGCAGGGGAAAGCAACATCGTCGTGTCAGCCATCCTGAGGCATACACGCTCTCTGTGGATATGTCTGGAAAGTTGACTCCAGGACATGACCAAGGCAACCAGAGATGTCGCTACATGATGGTCGCCTGCTACACGTTCCCAGTGACAAGGGATGGAGCTCCTTTGGTTCAGCCACCTGGTGATGGGCGTGGTCCTGAACAAGATCAACCTCTTCCACCTCTTGGAGCTGATGATGAGATCTTGGCTGACGATGATGGCGATGATGTTCCAGTTCCTGAAGACCCTGCGGATGTCGCTGATCCTGATGATCCTCTTCAAGAACAAGATCTTCCCTCTGCAGCGGCCGATGGACCAGTTCATGAATCGATGAGAACGGCCTATGATGTGTGGCACAAACTTGTGGACGAGGCAAAGAATGTGGCTGTCAAGAACGTCACCTTTGTAGAAGTGTTGCCCTCCAGATCTGTCCAAGATGTACTACCAGCTCTCGCGAGAGTTCATGCTCGGCTTCATGCCCTTGGACTTCCTTTGATGCGCATCCATTGCGACCGGGCGAGAGAACTGACATCAGCGCCCATTAGACGCTGGACTTTGGACAGAGGGATTGTGACCACACTTACAACGGGCTCATCTTTCAAGTCCAACGGACGAGTGGAGGCGGAGGTGGGTGCCACAAAAAGGGCTGTGAGAACAATCATCTCAGCTGGGCTTTGTGCACTTGAGCACTGGCCGTTGTGCGCTAGGCACATCGGTGAAAGACGTTTGCGATGCCAACTACAACGTCTTGGATGGCCAGCAGCTCCGATGTTGCAGTTTGGGAGCAAAGCTTTTGCGCTTCGCAAGTCCTGGCAAGAGAGGTACACGCAATGGCGTGACGCAAGAGAGGAAGTGGTCATCATGGGCCCAGACAAGTTCTCCTCTCTGACAACTACCAGCTACTATGTCAGGTCCATCAAGACTGGAAGGTTCTTCTATACGGATGATGTTGTTCAACCTCCTGCGGAAGCCCCGCATTCTCTTCAACAAGATCATGCTGACATCTACTTGGAAGAACGGGGGGAGTCAGCATCAGCACCACCATGGCCGGAAGTCCCAAACCGCAGATTGCGGGGCAAGACAACAGTGCCAGCAATACGATCGCTGTTTCACAGCGAGGGGGGGGCATCGGTGTTTGTCCCAATGGAAGTTCAACATCTACGGCATCCACAACAAGGACCTGCGGTTTTTCAGTTTGCGGTTCCTGAAAAGTTGCAACATTTCTTTGACCTGGAAGAGGTGGATGGAAGCGACGAAGAAAGCTGGTCTCTGAGCACTGACCCTGAAAATACATCAGCTGAGTCCGCGGCAACAACACCAAGTTGTCAGTCGGATGTGGATTATGGAGGAGGAGATGTGGAAGAGGCGCCAAACAACCGGTGCGGTGGCTCATGCCCGGTGGCCTCACACATGACGGGTCAAGATGCTTTGAGGACCATCCACCAGAATGTCGCTGACTACATCGACCAGGAGATGTCAAAGTTGGATGCAACTTCAGGGGAACAAGCTCTATGGTTGCCTGTGGTTTCAGAAGCTATGGAGGTCAAAGCAACGTTGGAGAAACAGCTGAAACGCATCCAATGTGATGAAGAACAAGATGCAGCACAACATCTTGAACAAGAATTTCTGGTCACAAAGACCATTGGCAATGCTGAAGTTTGGGCCAATTTGCGGGATTGGGAGGAGTCCATCAATAAGAAGGAATATGAGCAACTTGTTCTGCAGAAAAAGGCCGTGAGACAGATCACAAAGGACCAGTTGCAAAAGATGGCATCACAAAAGGGATTGCCAATAGAACTCCTACCAGCAAAGATGGTCCACACTCGGAAAGCCAACACCGGAGCTTACAGAAGTCGGGCTGTGGTTTGTGGCAACTACGCCGGTCCTGATGAATCTGAACATTATGCAGGTGGAGCTGATGGCAATCAAATCAGGACAGCCCTTCGACTTGGAGCTCTGAACTCTTGGGTGGTGGCTGGAACAGATATCAGAACAGCCTTCTTGAATGCTCCTCGTCGTGACGAAACACGCCTTCTTGCAATGGAAATTCCTGTGGTGTTTCGGGAGTTGGGGCTAGCTGGAACTGACCATGCCTGGCTGATTGACAAAGCCTTGTACGGCCTTACAACATCTCCTCGCGATTGGGGCCTTCATCGGGACGAAACAATCCCGAAGATCACCTGGAAACGACCACGAAATGGCAAGGTTGTCAAGGGCTCTTTTGTGAAACTCCTGACGAGCATGTTTGGAGAGTTGAGGAGGTGGATTGTGAAACTGGTGAAATAGCCGAGCCTGGTCAGGTTTGATGCTGGTCTACGTCGATGATCTGCTTTTGATAGCTGAAGATGGTGTGATTGATGCTGCCACCAAGGCCATTGCGGAGGTGTGGGCGATCTCAGATGTGGAGAAAGCGAGGGAGAAATCGGCGATCAAGTACTGTGGCTTCGAGATTGAGGTTGCGGAGAAGGGCAATGGGTATGTGATCTCCCAGCGCAACTACGAGCAGGAGATGATCCAAAGGTTCAACATAGACCAATCCCTGCAGTATCCGAGCTACAAGATCGGTGAAGGTGATGAAGACCCCGAGGGCCCAATCACACCATCCGACATCAAGATGGCTCAATCAATGGCTGGTGCGCTGCTTTGGCTCACCACGCGCACTCGTCCTGACATAGCTGTGGCGGTGGCATCGGCGTGCAGATTGGCAACAAAATGTCCAATCAAGTCCATCGAAATCTCAACGGTGGTGATGCAGTACGTCCGTGGACATCCTGGCGGTTTACATTATCCACGTGGGGTGCCTGAAGAAACTTGGGGTATGAGAAACCAGTTGAAGGTGGAGAGACATGGCAAGCTGCTAGAGATCTTTTCAGATATCTCTTTTGGTGCAGGCTCACGTCATCGAAGTCTTCAAGGACTTGCGGCATTCTATGCTGGGGCCATTGTGGCATGGCAATCTTCACAACAACCTTTTGTCACTTACAGCACTGCAGAATCGGAGCTGGTGGCCTATTGTGAGGCATTGAATGCTGGCCGTTCAATGGAGGCTATGATCTGTGCAATGATCAAAGAGCCGTTGGGCCAGAACACAATAGAGCGGGTGATCTATGGCGACAATGCTGCAGCGATTGCCATGGCACAAGGAACTGGAACTTCAAGTTGGCGCACCCGACATCTTCGAGTACGTTCCTCATTTTTGACGGAAGCCATCGATGGCACTGCTCCAGGTGGACTATGGAAGCTCTTGCATTTGCGTGGCACGGAGCTGGTGGCGGATGGACTGACGAAACCTTTGGCAGGGCAGTCATTTTTCAGGTTTTTGCAAGATCTGGGAATGAGAGGAAGCGACAATTCAACTGAGCTTCCTGCAGCTGAAGCTGAGGCACATGCTGGTGGTGGAAGTCAGGCGGCGATACGAGCTCTGATCGCTGGCAGTCTTTTGGTGTCTCAAGCGAAGGGCTCTGACCTTGACGAGGTTGAGAATGAGGCCACGGATTGGGTCTTCACAGCGGGGACCATTTTGATGATCCTTGGGGCGATCTACTCTGGGCAGATCCTTTTTGAAACGTCAAAGTGTTGCCTGAAGAGATTGCGCCGCCTCGCAGAAGATGAAAATCAAGATGATGGAGTAGCGCGATCAAGGAAGACGTCTTCACGATCGGGCTCCGCAACCAATGATGACACGACAAGTATGTCTTCAAGCTCGGGCTCAGTGTCCAGTGCAGGCGCCATGAGATTGAGATCCTCTACACAGTCGGGCTCCGCGACCAGAGCTGGTGCTATGAGTCAAGCATCGTCTTCACGATCGGGCCTTAGCATTGATGGTAGCTCTTCTGGTGGCGGTATGAGATCTACTTCAAAAGGTATGACAAGACAATCGGGCTGTAGCAGCGCTTCTGGTGACCCTGCTATTTCAAGCGGGAGCACGACACGATCGGGCATCAGCAGTGCACATGTAGCGGGAAATCCTGCCACGTTGGTTGACAATGTAGTTCCTGTGGAGAGCGAAAGGGATGCTCTCAGTAGCAGTAGCATAGGCAAGGTCAACTGCAACAAAGGTCCAAAGGGATCTTTGAACCCATGGAATGATTTTCAGCACGAACACAGAGGAAAAGGGTTATCCTCAACGGCATTGTCGAAGATGTACAAAGGCCGGAAGGAAACCCTGTAGCAAGCACGTGATGTGCGCCTTTTGAAATGCCTTGAGCCTCTACAAAGCACAATAGGTGCATAAGAATCCTGATTCACCGACCGGTGAAGGGGGAGTCTGAAAGGGCATGGCATCACAACATTACTCTGAGGCATTTTTGGCTGAAAATAACGCGTGGGTTCCCTTGTTTACAAGCCTGGAAAACCCAATGGGTTTCCGGGTGAAGATTTTCCCGTAAACCAAGGATTGGCACTGCGCATGGTGAACTCATTTTTTCACCATTTTTTAGTGGAGTTCATGGTATGGTTATGTTATGTCGGAATTCTGCAGGGTATGCACCAAAAAAATGATGGGCATCTGGTGAAAATTAGGAACATTTGAAGCCTTCGGGTATTGGTCCAGCCTCAGGGTCAAAGAGGTCGGGAGGAGGAGGTTCTTTTGATTCTTTCTTCTCCTTGCTCCTCTTTTCCAGCAAACCTGCAGTGTTAGCGTTGCAAACCATCTTGGAGCCCCTCCTTCTTGGATATGCATCCCAGTTCATAAGCGGTTTATAAGCCCCATGCTAGCCCTAACCAATTTTTCTTGGGGTCTAATGGACATTCCAAACATAATGGCTAGGCCCTAGTAGGCATCCCCGAATTTTCCAAGGCCGATGACGAAAACACATGGTACATGGTCACCATGGCCATCCCATTATCACGAATGGGGGGGATGACCATCAGCCCTTTACATGTGTCACTGTGTCACCAGTATTTTGATTTCAGCCATACATCCCATGATATTCCATCATCATATCCCGTGAAATCACCATTTCCAATGGTTGAACACATCCAACAAATCTCAAAATGACAGTAGCATCCTTTTTTTCCCAGCTATACCCCCTGCCAATCGAACATGGCAATACAAAATCCACCATTGATAGTTGATTTTACCATTAAAACCTTTATTTAGTTCCAACATTTCCCTATGTTTCCCGATGATTTCCCTATGATTCTGCTCTAAAAACCTCCATTTCCCTCGGGAATTTCCATGGATTTCCCCTAGGTGTCCCGCCTGCCAGGCGCGCAGGCAGGCGATTCTCCTTCTCCGAAAGGTTCCGACGAAGGGAGCGTTCAGGAGGTTGACCTGGCGAGTTGACCATGGGAAGTGATATGGGATTATGGTGGGATCATGATGATCATCAGGAGGAGTCATCATCATTATCTATAATCATAATTATGATAAGCATGATCATCATTATAGATCATAATTATAATATATTATAATTAGGAGGATAATCAGGATTCATCTATAGATGATTATCCTGGGATTATCTATAATGATGATCCTAAGATGGAATGGGATCATCATTATAGATGGTTTACCATCTGGTTATGACTAACAGTTTGCCATGGAAAGATCCACCCATTCTTAATAGGTAAACACCATCTATTTCGATTAGGGCCATTAAAACCATGGCCATGTTAAATAACCAGAGGGTATAACCAATGATTACCATATAACGATTAAGCATATAATCAAGGATTATAACCATATAATCAATTGACCATAAGTTACCTATATGATTATATGCTTCATATTGATAACCATATAATCATATCGGGGTTTCCTAAAATGGGAAATACACAAAATGGATGGTTTATACTGGAACGTCCATCTATAAATGGATGATTTGGGGGCATCACCATTTTTGGAAACCTCCATATTACCATTACTATATGGATATTAATCCGAGATTCATATGGTCAGGATATCATCATCATTGATCGCGAATCTACGACTAATCTTATGTGGTGATAGTATGGTTATACAATGTGGTTATTTTACCATATTGCGATTAATATGGGTTATTATATGGTTGTTCTCAACTGCTCATTATATGGTTATTTAATGGAAGGACTATACGTTTAATATGCGCAACACATATTAATGTGAACACATATTCATAGAATAACTACATGATAATCTGCTAGTATTTATGCACGATATTTATATGGGACATGCTCAGGTAATTTCTTGAACTACTCGCTAACTGGGATGCAAATGAGAAGTGTTCGTGAGAAGTGATATCCCCATCTCCACAAGTTTGGCTAAACCGAAATCTTTGCAAACATTAGAACCTCGCATGTGATCCCCAAGTGTGGAATCCACCTAGCACATCTGCATAGGGATATAGGTTACCGCTTTTTAAATCTGTGCCGCCCAGAAACTGGAAGATGCCGCTTCCGACTCTTTAGACTTCGGCCCCTGGGTCCAGTGGATGTTGGCAGCTACTCATATCAGCAGATCGTAAAAGTTGGGATCAGGTGCTACCTATTAGCCGTAAAGTTGGTTTAGGCAGCACAAAGTTGGTTGAATAAAATAATCATAAACCTAATCATCCAATTTTTTGCCTTGTCAGAGACTCATGGGAGAAGCAGTAGGATGTGTTTTCAGACTCAGGAAAGAATATCGAAACAAACCAACATGACAAAAGATACCATCAGGACTGAAGGATCAACGTCAACGATCCGCGGACTCTTTGCGACGCCCTGCCTCCTGGGAATTCTTGTTGACCTTCTTTCTCGTTTTCAAGCCAAACATTGACATTCAGCGGAAGCCCCCAGGACCAGCTGCCTTCGATGCTCTTCTTGTGGCTACTAAAGTCTGATCAACTGTACTCAAACAACACTGTTTGACGTATGGGTGACCCCTGTATGCGGTGGTATGCCATCATGAATGCCATTAAACGCTGTTATCTTCCATTTTTGTTTGCGAATCTGCGAATGCATTTTGTGGATGAACTTGGTCCGAAACGCTGCGATTTTCTTTGGGTTTTCATCGATTTTCTACCAATTTTCCCAGTGAGGACCTGTGGGTTGGATGCACCTGGAGGGCTGTTGTAGTCACCTGCGCTGTCAGTGCTACTTGCATTCAAGAACAGGTGATTTCCCTAGATTTGCCTTCTGGTCAAAACATGACTCACTAGCTACAACATTACAACCGCCTTTTGGTGATCTTTCAGCTGTCATAAGCAGCTCTTGAAAGATACGGTGATCTATGATGTTGCAGCATCCAGTGGCGGACTGGCGGTGCCGCACCTGAAGAAAGAACAATAAAGAACACATCACCAGAAAAAGCACCCAACTAAGATAGATCCTGCCAAACAGCTTTTTTTCTCAAAGTGTCCACTAAACATGGGCAATTTTCAGGGTCTCTGGAAGGAGCAACTCATGCAACTGAAATGGCCCTCCCCTCACTAAACAACGAAGGCTTCGTTCCTTTCTGGCGCAACGAAGTCTGTCCAAAGCCAGAGAACCGTACAGCTCAATGGGCCTCCAAGTTGCCGGCTGGCACATCAATCCTGAAAACATGGAGATCAACGGGTGGCTGGCATAGTCTACTTGAAGATTGGAATTTATGGGTCACATCATGTCATCATTTGGATCCATATTACGGCCCTTATAGCTCTTAGAGCTGCAAACTTCTAGCTCGATTAATTGGCACCTGGATGCACCTGGTAGTTCCTGCATGTTCCTGTCAATGGCATGCCATTTCGTGCCTCTGGATCTACCATGGGAATTCACCAGCGAAAGTTCGACCATGGGGGGAGTTCCGTTACCCCGATTCACTTCCCACGATTCCAAATTCCTATCTTCAGCCACGGCGCATGGCTTCACGCAAGCGCTGCTTCTCTTTCTCGTCCTGCAAGGTGCCAGCGCGGCTTGCAACCAATGGGAGGCCTAGCACGACCTGAAAATGATTAGCATGGGATTCTGGGGGTGCAATATTTTCAGTAGCCCCCCAAAATGGGCTCAACTTGTACCAAATGGTGCTTCACGGGCTTCCTCTCAAATCCACCAAATGAACACATCAAGTTCAGAAACCACAGCCCATTGTCTTTTCAAGTCATTCTAGGTTCTCACCTATGTACAGATATACAGCATAATATGATTCAAATGATGCATCCATCATGGGGTGACTTTCTGAAGCTGCCCAAAGTTCCATATCCAATGATTTTCCCAGTGTACCCCCTCTACAAGATGGTGCCCCCCAGCTATGTTTGTTGGTTTATGTTCACCCCACTAGTTCGATAGATCTACCATAAACATCCATAAACCAAAGAATTCACCTAGTTATTTCCACCAACTTAGCTACGGTTTGGGGGCTCCACATCATTTATTCTGGAGATGGCCCTGTTATTATACCATAGTTATTCCTTTTTACACACACCTAATAACGGGGCATAATTATTCCACATAAACTTCCAACATCTTGCACCACCTTCCGGTGCTCCTTAGCCAGCAGAATCCGCAGCTCTGCAAAGAGCCGATTCACCTGACATCACAATGACCATGGCGGGTGAGGCGTGGTTTGACATGCCAGGTATTGAGCCGAAGAAAACATGTCATTCTTAAGCGCAATTTGTGGATTCACCTGAGTATCATGAAATCTCATGCAATCATTATGCGATATGAATCGATATTATATATATATATGTACGTAAGCCTTGGAGACCTCATGCTTCTCATACCCAAGTATCCGTTAAACCTAGTATATACTCTCATCAAATCTCTCCAGTTGTTGTTATCCCAGCCTTCCATTCTCCCTAGCCATCCCGGCGCCTGTGCGAAGATCCGATAGCCCGAGGAGGGCTGGTAGGGCTGGCCCTCCGAGAAGGGAAAGCCCTTGCCGATGCGCCACAGAACGCCAAAGAAACCACCAAGGCCACCAGTGTTGCCCACCATGCGATCCATCCTCGTGCGACCGAGCTTAAAATATGGACACTGGGAATGGGGGTATCCCATGATATCTCTAAATGTTTATTCATTATGGCTACTATTTCTATTCAACAATATTGTGTAACCGGTTTTCGGATTGGATGGATTGGAATACACACACTTGAACTTTTGTGCCACTGTGCTCGAAACACAATGTGGGTTGTCTGAAAATTGGATATATACCATCATATTCCCATATCCGACGGCTTATAATTTTCCATACTCAAACTGCCATCTTGGAGTCTTTTAAGTCTTTTAGCCCCATGGACACATCCATATCTCCGCTACAAGTAGCATCCCTGAAGCAAATAGCCAGGTCTCACGTAGCCAATGGTGAACTTTGTCACTTGGCCTTTCTCGTTGAAGGTCAAACCTGGAAATGGACTCCCAATGGCCGGATCGTTCCTTCAACTTGCGGGACCATCCGTGTAGGGGGAGGCCTACACTTTTGAGTCGCAGCCATGGGTTAGAAGCAGCAAGAACCCAAAAACTAAGTACCCACCTCAGCTCTCTGAACTCATTTGACTCATTTGAACCAAATCGAAGTGTATACGGAATAACTTCTTGATCAATCTTCAGCTGATCTCAGGATCCGACTACAAGCCTGCGGAGGATTCTCAAACTGAATCCCCGTGGGGTCGCCAAAAACCAGTTCCGCGTCGCTGCCTGCCACCGAGAGACGGAACCACGAACTTTCCGGATGGAATGATTTTTTCACATAGCTTGCAATAATCGTACTTGACAAGGAACAATCCCTTCTGTATACATCCACTTGATGATTTTTCATCTGAACAATTTGCTTTTCCCATTGCCATGGTTTCTGGTTTACCTACTATGTACTCGGCTCTTGAGGAACCTGCCAAACTTCGAATTTGAAAAATGAATAAGTCTTTTTGTGCATTACAGTTCCTAGCTTGATGACCAGTATAAAATATAGCCAAATAGAGCCAGTATATGCGCAGCATAATCCGATCATCCTAATATTAAAATATCTCAAAAGACCTCCATCCACCATGGTTTCTGTGGGCACCAAACCATGGTTTCATCTGTTTCACAATTGTTTCACATGGAAGGGATGAGTTCCGTGCCTGGCACAGCTTGCCCCGTATGAGTTCCATTGCCCCGGACGGTCCACCAGACCCGATTCGGTTCGAAAGGATCCACCCTGGCAGGGGGCGTTCCGTACAGCATCCGCATGTGGAGTCCTTTGTGAAACATCCCCTTAGAAACCGTGCTGTAAGGGATAAAGCCAAACATCTCTGGGACCAGAAACTATATCATACAATGGTGGGGTTTAAAATTGTTGGGATTAGATGGGTCATTCAATGATGCAACGTTCCTAGCGCACAAAATCGATCACATTCATGCAACATGTTTGCAGCCATCGAAGCTAGACCATTTCCCCCTATCTCATGAGTCTCATGATGGTAAGATTGGCATATAAGCACGCAAGGAAAAAAGGCAACCGAAAAATGCCAGGCGAGCGAGTTATGTGCATCATAAAAACTACTGCGATTGGATGCGTCAAGGGGGCAAATGGCCGCAAAGAAACTTGAAGGTGACAATTTCATGGAGGTCGAGGTCGAGCACATTATGAGAGAAAAACATGATGCCACACAGGTTTGCGCCTAAAGTCATGAAACTGGGCCGATGCATCTGGGAAGCATTGGAAAAAATCCATGGTGTCTCGCTGCCCATAAAACGCCTGCCAAGGAAACACTGCAGGTCAGGCCCGTCAGGCTGGACCAAGAATCCCATGATCATGGAATCACTACTCTGAAATAATTGTTGTTTCGCTTGCCGCTTGTGATCATCTGTTGAAAGGCATTTCCCATCATTTCCCTGCACTATGGTAGGCAATGGGCCCTTTTATTGTCAGATATTGTGAGATTGAGACTTTTGATGACTTTCGTAGATGTTCCATGCCTCTCCTCACCATACCCCCGTTGGAGATCCTGAAATTTCTTTCAACTCCAGGTTTTCAAGGCTGGAGCAAATACAGCTAGAACCCCAAAAATACAATGTTCATCATTGTTCATCCATATTCAGTATAAGAGAACCATCATCAATCTTCAGCTTGGTGTGTCCCGCCTGCTTATCTAACGGTCCAATGTATGGACCAACGAATCGAAAGTCATCTGCCAGCAGCATGCCATCGCTGGGAAAAATCTTCTCTGGAGCCTGCGTCACGGCAACAGTGGCAGGCATTGGCAGTCGGGGCCCTGGGACAGCCTGCTGTTGGCCTTCTTGAAACACTGGTGATATCAACCCATCCCAACACATTCCGAAACCATGAAAGTCAACTGGAATCATCATCCCAGATGTTCTGGGATTTTCTGGGATGGAGAAGTATCACAGAGTTTGAAATCAGCAACCAGCAAATCATCAGGATCAACATCCTTCAGTTTGACAGGGAGATCTTGGGTACTTGCGATTTCTCAGCTCAAAGGCAAAGATGCATGCGATCAGCATGGAACCACCGTTTTCCATCACACCGCACTTAAAATCAACTCCTGTGGCTGTGCCGAGCATGTGGGATGGAGAGAGCTGTTGCCTTGGGATGCTCACCATGCGCAGCTTCATCCTGTGGCTAAGCGGCTAGCGGCTAGACTGTACTGCCGAATCAGCTCATAGACATCATGAGCGTCCGCCATTCCAAGGTCGACATAGTCTGGATCGGCAGGTCCAGAGTTTCCCGGCCTGGGTCTGGACTTCAATGCCACCAAAGGCCCCCTCCAAGAGGCCGCGATTGCAGCTCCAAACAGGTTGGCCACACAAGCATTGTCTGCTGATCCATCACTCAAGAAGCCCATTCGACCGTGCAAATGAATGGGCTGGGTCCGGTAGTCCATAGGGAGCCCTGGCAAAAGACTACTGCGAATGCTTTCAGAGTAGTTTGCTCCAAAAATTGGTCCCCAAACTGGCTCGAAGTACTCCGTGTCATCCCAATCATAGTGCTTTTCCAGCTCAACATGGATGATGCGAGGCAGTTTTTCCTTTTCCGGTAGCAGCATCGCAGTCACGCACATCCCTGCTGGTTTGCCGGGAAAAGGGTGCAGAGCGCAAAATACCTTGTGAATCTTCCACTCCTCCCTTTGACATATGTTGGAACAATAGGCTCGGGACCCACACTTGCTGCATCTTTTGCCGGCCGGCTTGTGGCACATCGGGCATGCATCTGCACGAGCTCGATCAAGGCTGCTGGCAACATGCGTGTTTGGCAACTCCAAAGGCAGAGCTCAATCTGCACCTCTGTGACTCCAAAACGCTTCAGATACACCACCATGGTCTCATCATCCACCTCAGGGCCAAAGCCCATCTTGCCAGTGTGCAGCCCAAAATAGCAACCTCCACCATCTCTAAAACCCACCTTTTCAGTGACCTTGTTCACCTCCTGAGAGGCGTTGCCACTGTACGTGAGACGATTGTCGTAGACCTGCAGGAAGACACTGGGAAGGTCAAGGCCAAGGCAATCCTCATAGCCATAGACTACTTTGATGGGATCCCCAGGAATCTCGAAGCGAGGCATGGACCGAAAGGGACCGAAAGGGACCGAAAGGGCGGTATTTTCGTTGGCCACTCGCGTAGCTGCGATGAGCCTGTATGCTTCACAAAGCGCTGCTGAACTTCTGTTTTCAACTTTTTTCCTCAATGTTTTTGCCAAACCCTATGCCATCCATTTTCTTCGTGCCCATTCCATCCCCCCAAAAAATGGCAGGATGGCCAACAAAGCCCGGGCCGCATCCCGAATCTCCAGCCTCCGTGACCAGGAAAACTTTGGTGAGGTGCAGCAACTCCTGGGCGCATCACAAACAAACATTCGGTGTTCCCAGCAACGTTGGGGGGCAACATCCCGGGAATCAGAGGAATATAGTAAGGTTGAATATATAGGTACAGCACCACCAAAACGTTAGCACACAGATGTGCAGCAACATGAACATGTGAAAACATGTTCAAGAACCATCAGTGAATTAGATGGTGCGTGACGGTGCGTGTTTCAAATGCACATATCCATTGAGGATAGATTTAGAACAATCATTATTATACTATGTACCAGGTGAGATTCCTGTTTGATTATCCACGTCCATTTGTTACATCAGCCGTTCTTGTCCCAATCCCATTCAAACCCTGCTTTCTATAACCTCCATACGGTGTTGTCTGAAAATAGGCTATCTCAATATTTGATGCAATTTATTACATGTCATTATATATATATATATCATCATCATTTTCCCTATTTACATTGCCAATTTCGAGGTATACTTCATTTTCAAACAACTATCATGTGGTTGAGAAACTCTCAGTATAAGTCTTAGTAGCTCCTTGGCTCCGCACTTAAAAATCGTTTTAACGGTGACTATGGATACCCAGAATGCCAAACCGCTCCCTCCCAACCAACAGACACACAAAAGCATACCTTTCTGGTATGCCTAACAGAGTCGCACTTCAGATCACCGAAAAGCACCGAGTTCCATCTCCCATTTCCGTCCCATCTCCGTCCCTCCTTGGGAGAAATCGGAAACGAACTTTCACGAAAGAGTTGATCCTCATTCACCAGGTGCTGCCTAGGAGATGCTCCGCTGAGAATCTTCCCATCACAAGAAGCAAAAGACCTTCGAACCAAGGCCAACCTGATTGCCAACATGTGAGAAAGAAACCCAGTTCCTGAATTTACAAACTGATTTCCGGTCAGATGCAACAAACATCAGCCGAAAAGACTGTGCTACCAGTACATGTGCCACCCTGCCTGGCGAACGCCTTGTACTCAGGCGTCTCTTCAAAGTTCTCCGGCAAAGCTCGTCGGAGAACGTGCGGTGTGCGCAAAGAGGTGAAAACCTGCGGATCAGTCCCAAGAGCATTAGAGGATTTTAGAGGTATGTGTTGAACGTCCCCTAGTAAAAAAGGGACAATGACCACCCCTTGCACTCCCACTCAGTTTTTCTGAACCCCACTTTGGCTAATATCTGCATCACCTTTCTGCAATTGAGCAATCTTTACCAAAGACTTGCCTGTCGAAGTGAGTGACCAATGAAGATGATTGAGGGACATGCCATCCGCCCCCAGCCATGTTTCCCAAGGTTCCCAGGCCCCCAACCGCCGCACCGTGCTAGCCGACACCGCCAGCACCACCCAAGCGCAAAGTGGAAACTTGCCCCTCCGCCGCATGGCAATGACACGCAGCAGGCGCATCGTGAGAAAGGAGGGGCGTTTTGAAGACGCGGTGGGTGTTTGCAACATCGATGATTGCATTCTTCATCGTTAGTCAACTGAGGATCATGATTACAGTAAGCATCAATGGTTTCACCAAATGTTCAAAGTGATTTAATTACAATTACTCTTGATCATAAAGTGTGCCAGCCACCAGTGAATGATTGCTCCGATTCTTCATCAAAACAGGTTGAACCAATGACAAACAACTTTGGAGCTGGCAGCATGTCCGCAGAAAGTAGCATCAACTTGACCACACTGAAACTGTGCTGCTGGTTTCACTTCCCCTGAAATATGAAAGTCATTTGCGGATCGTTGTCCCAAGATATATAAGATATCCCCTGGAAAACTATGACATGTTAGAAACCACCAATGTGGGTGTTCCCATTGTTCCCATCCATCGAATGAGAGCTGCGCGACCTGCACTGCGGAAAAACTGCGGATCATGTGGCCATGACATCACAACGAACAACAATCAATGGCTTGGTTGAAGGAAAACTTGATAGGACAACCATGGATTTACCATGCAATTTCCCTGCAAATGTTTCCACCGCTAACCAATTCTGGGAATATCAAGGATGATTGGGGCCTCTACTCCCAGGGTGGTTTCCATGAAAGCCAGTGACATCAGCGACTTCGCGGCCCTTTTTGACTCCGACATCCACCATGGGCCACGATCAGCTTGGCACCTCCGCACGACAAATCATCACCCTATGGGACCACAAAGCACGCCCATCCCAGCTGTGGCACGGCGACGGTTTTTTTTTCCCTCCAACCGGGCCAGGCTCACAAGCGACGCGCCTTCCGTTTCCCTCCTTTCGTGGATTTCTTGGAAGTTTTCGGTGCATCCGACTTTGCTGCGGCCTTGGGCGTGGAGTTTTCCTTCGGCTTCGGCTGCTTGGGATTCTCAGCCGTGGCGTTGCCGGCCATGCGACGGTTGGCCTTCTTACGCTCCTTGGTCTTGGAGAAACTGCCGAAGGTGGTGTTCATGGATTTGTCATACTCCGTGGCCATCTTCTTCAGCTCCTGCCGTTTCTTTATTTTTTGGGTTGGCCAAGAATCTTCCCGAATCCAGTGGAGACTAATGGAGACAGGGTGTTTCCGAACCTGCCCTCAAGTTGCTGAAACCATCTGGAAGGTCAACAAACTCACCAACAGTCATGTGTCGCCCTTCAAACTGGATCCTGCAACACAATACCCACCTGTAGCCTCCTTTTTGTTCAGCCTCATAAACTCCTTAATCGCAGCTTCACTACCATATCTGGACCATATCTATCCTTCATTATCTTCATTCTTTAGCAATCTTTAGCTACACTATATACCACACTATCAAATTTAATTGCGCTCTCAAACAATTTTCCATCCCCTTTTTGTCATTTCGCTTCAGCTCCTGCTTCTCCGTTTCCATCATTTGCCTCACGCGCTTTCTCTCCTTAGAGTTGCTCCAAGGCCATTTCTGGGGGCGGTCCATGAAAATGTGCCAATGGATTTCCTATTCCTAGCTAATGTTTAACCATGTTTAACCACCGACACCAGCCAATCTCAAAGTGAATGTTTTCCAGAACATTCCCTGACCTTATCCACATTTATGATGGTGGTTTTATGATTTGGATGGCTTAACCACATGTAAAAACCACATTTAACCGCCAATTCAATCTTAGTTGATGGATTATATACTGAAATCATAAAACATCATAACACCAGCATCAACCCAGCAAGCTCCTGGCTTGGAGCCCCATGATTTTCTGGAAAAAAAGGGCACACAACTTCAACCAACCAGCATCCAGCTTAGATACTGTTCAGCATGTGAAAAGGAAATGCCGTGAAATAGCAATACAGTATCACTGTATTATTGTATCATATCCATGAGCCAAACAAATCAACCTAAAATCAACCAACATCAACCAAAATCATCTAAATCCACCATACTACGGAACATACTTATATGTAATCTTTTAGGTAAAAAACAAATAATCCAAATAAGGTCGACATAAGTCAAACATCCTTATCCAACCCAGATGAGCTGTGTTCTTTTTGTTGTCTGGGCCCTTATACTCCTGTGCTGCCTACGCCGCTGTCTACGCAATGCCTACGCGGCCACAGTGGGAGCCTACGCGGCTCATCCCTTTGAAGGTGTGCCTACGCAGGCCCAATGCCCGTGTAAATCGACGCCTCAATGTACGTTTTTGCCTACGCCGTCACACTTCCATTTGCTTTTGGAAGGTTGGAAACGGAACTTTTGCCTATGCGACCACAGTCCCATTCACATTTTTGCTAAGTGGGGTGCCTTACGGCACCCTGCACTCCCTGCAGCAGCACGAGCGCCCAGGCTCCAAAGCGCCCATAGACATCTTGCAGCCACACCCATGTGCAGCAGCCGCACCAGCAACCAGGTCCCAAAGCGCAATCTAAACATCTGGTGGATAAATCATGATAAATCACTGAAGACTCAGCTAGTAACTTTTGACTATGCTGGAGTCAAGCCAAGCGACGTGTTCGACTGTCGCTAGCTTGGTGAAGGGCAGTTCTGGGCGGTTCAATGTGTCGAATATGGACTGGTGCGGACGTGGGCTGGTGGTCAGTCCGGGCACCCGAGCCTACGCGGTGCCTACGCGAAGTCTACGCGAAGCCTACGCCTGTTCCAGGGGTCTCCTGGCAGGAATCTGGTGAAACATTCCTCTTAAGCAAGAGCTAATATGGCCCATCTAGCAACAAGCAGGTGGAAAGCGAAGAACATCAAGACGGTTTAAGCTGCTGCGCTGCCTTTGTATAGCTGCTCTGCCGGGCAAGTTCCACGGTTTGTTCGTATAGACAACTATCCATGAATGAACCCGGTGCCTTTGAACCTTTTGTGGATAACATTGACTCAATTTTAAAGCGTGAGATTGCAACGCCGATCATGTACGAGCATTTGAAATACAATGAAATGTTGCCTACGCGAACCAGAAAATATTTGGAACCTTGAAAAATGCCTACGCCAATCCTACGCAATCCTTACGCCAGCCAGGTAAAACCAAACCAAAAGCAACATCCAGTTTAACCTCTATATAGACCCTTTTATATTAAAAAAAACGTAGCTCAGATGGGCAAAAACCATAGAAAATCAACCAACATCACCAACATCACCAACATCACCAACCTCATCCATCATCCATCATCACCATCATCATCCTCATCCTTCTCATCCAAGTCTCATTCTGCTTCGCCTTCCGTTTCACCTCGCCCTTCTGATGCTGCAGCTGCTGCACCACCGCCGCATCCCGTGCCAGTTGCCGTGCCGCCTGGCGCCGCTCGTGGTTCAGGCGCCGCTGCAGCTGCTTGGTCTCCGAGACGTCCATGCCGCGCTTCATGGGCCGGTCGCCCTCTTCGTGGAAGATGGGGTCCAGCATCCTGGGAAGTCGGGAGGGATGTGATCCAAAACAGAATGAGATCAACAAAAAGCTATGCACCAAATGGAATTTCCACATTTTTCGGATGGGCTTTGGAAAAAACTGCCCCGAAAAAGTCATGGAAACTGACAACTCTCTTGAAAAAGTCATACCTCCGGACAACTCCCCTCTTCCCTGACACAGTCATAGAACTGATGTTTCCGATATCAAACAATATGGTCCTAGATTTGCTTGACTTCAGGGGCCCTAAAGAAATATTACGTAAAAACACCCAAAAGGATTCCACAACAATGGTGGATTGAGCAAAGGAAAACAAAAAAACACTCATCGACTTGGCCAATCCAGGGATCTTGATCTGAACTGCACCTTCTTCCTCGGATTTGGATTGATGGAATTGGAGTGAAGAGATGGCTGTACAAAATTGGAATTATGGCATTGAGATGGATTTTGGTCCTGACAAAAATGGATTATGGAGGTGGAGGTATTGACTGATTGGCCCTGGCATTTGGGGAGAAGATTTTGGCTTTTGAGAAGTCTTGCCGAGGGGAATCAAGTTTGAATATCCTGAATGCAATTACTCTACTTATCATCAACATCTTGCCTCGGACCGGCTTCCCGCTTTGGACACAGTACCATGCCAACATGTTTACATGATGCACAAATCTCTTCCCATGCTGGCATAATCACTTGTTGCCTGCAAGTTTCAAAGAGAGTCAGTGGTTTCATGCTACCTGTGGCTGCTACAGCTTCGTTGATGGCTTGAACTGCCTTGTCGATGGACGCGTTGCGAGGCAAACGGCTGAGACAGGGCCGCAAAATGGCCTGATAGACCATCATAGCTGCGGCTGGCCTGGGATGGTTTAGGATGGCGAACAGAAATTCGGCCCTCCAGTCCAGAAATGCCACCCAGCGAACATCAATGATTTGAAGTTGTTGTTTCATCATTCTGAGGTTCCCCGATCAAGTTCAACTTGATGTTTTCTGCATGGGTTATCGCTGATCATCAATTTCCCTGTTGAAATTGAGGTAAATTGGGGTATTACATGATCTCCCCCAAGTCATTTGGACACACCTCAACCAAACCATACCATCAGCTATGAAACAATTGCATCACACTTGCTTCATAATCCCTGTTCCGAATAGCAACCTCAACTCTGAAGATTCAATAAGTGAAGTGCCGGTTGATTCACCTAAACTTTGGGCGTGTCTGACCCTCCAAAAGGACGTTTTCACAGGGAAAATGAGGCTACATAACCACTGAACGGACTAGGCGTTTCCCATTATTTTTAGGTACCAAACTATGCTAAACCATAGGCCCAAATTATCCAACAATAAGTAACCCACGTATTTGCATGTATTCGCCCCATTGATTTCCCCCAAACTGACCACCAACTTCCAAGCAGCTCATGCTCCGCCACCGCCTTCAAAGCCTTCCCCAGCAGCTGCGCCAAATCCACCGCCGCGCCGCCGCACTGCTCCCGGCCCTGCTGTAGCGACGCGGCGCAAGAGTCGAGCAGAGCAGCACCCAGCTGAAAGAACGACGTGCAGAACTTGCGGCCTGGTGACAGCAACTCGTAAAGCACGGCCACCAACCTGAGAAAAATTGGGGATGAAGAGGGTAGTGAATGAGGTGATTGAATTATTTTTGTCATTATTATTGTTATTATTACTAGTGGCATTACTCTCATTAAAATAATATATTGTTTATTTGTTTATTTCTAATTTATTGTTCTCTTTATATAATCTTACCGTCCTGTTCTGGATGAATTAGATAACATTCACCAACCTGAACCAAGGTCATTTGGGGATAGTTGCCTCTACTAACCATTATTACAGTGACGTCACAGCGAGGTCATTCTGATTTATCTGTGATATCACCACTTCCTCAACAGAGATGAGGGTTATATTGGGATTATATTGGGCTCAAATCCCAAACTGTTGAGAGAAAACACACACACAGAGATAGATAGATAGATAGAGAGAGAGAGATATATATATATACTGCATATATATATATATACATGTAGAGAGAGAGAGAGAGAGACAGAGAGAGAGAGAGAGAGAAGAGAGATGGGTAATGGGCAAGTTTCTGGCCAATTGTTCAGTTTTTTTTCGACGGAGGCGGCAACACAATGACCACAGACCAAAAGCCATCTGATCCATCGTTCGAATATACATTCGAACATCTACCTCCATCTGATGCGCAAACTCATCCCACCCAAACTTGATGCAACATTTCAATTGCCATGTGGATGGTTGCGACATCCTGACATCCTGCACCAGTTTTTCTAGGTGATACCATTATGATCCATGATTTTTGGGCTTAACCGTTTCAACATGTTTCAACCATCCATGGCATCCATGGTGCAGGATTTCGTGCAGGAGCACCGATCCATCCACAGTGAGTCATCCAAGTAGCATCGATCCTTCCGACACCAGGTCCGTGATATTTTCCCCCAGATGTGCCAACTGCGAGGCCCAATGATCTGCCAGCAGCATTGCGGGGGTGACCACCGGATGCTGGAAATCCGTGACGGGGAAGATCAAGGGGACCTGGCACGCGATGTTTCATTGAAAATGGGGTTTTATGGTTTTGCTAATGGGATCTACTGGGATAATACTGGGATATGTCCTAAGCTCCCAATAAATCCCAAAGCCACCATTAACTCATATGTTTGATGGATAATATGGGAAATATACTGGAATATGTCATGGGACTACATGGAGGCTGTATATAGACATCAAGATCAAAATCCAAAGACGTTTGATTCATTTAATGATTTGGCGATGAGTCATTCAAAACCTGTGTGGTTGTCTGTCTCTAAACTAGTTGGTTTATGGATGTTTATTCACCCAAATATGGAAACAATAGGGGCTGAACCATGACCATTTATGATTCTTTTCTGTCTCACAGTTTTTGGACATACATACTGACTTACTTTGACACACCCAGCAGCTTTAGTAAAACATGCATCACTTTGTTTGGCACTTGGAGCTTGGATCAACCTCAAAACACCCGATTCATGACATTTCATGATTCTGATTCCCCACATTTGTGGTGGTGTGTTCTGTACCCATGTTTGAGCAATGTTCAAAATCATTCAAAAGCCCTGTGTCATTCCATTATGCTGCTTGGCTAATAGGAATTCTCAGAATGAAGTATGATAATGCCCAATTTATGGCTAGTCTAATTTCCTGTGATACCCTCTGGTAAATTTAGCTATGGAAAATGACTATCTTGATGGGTAAATCAACGAACTAAATAGGTCTTTTCCCAGCTAGCAAACTGTTAGTTTACCATTGGTATATCCAGTTATATCCCCAATAATATGCCATCATATCCCTAAACCACCATTAATATAGATTAATATAGTAGTATATCCCCTGTTAAATGACCATTAACATAACCATTGATACCTCATTAAACCACATATGGACATACCCATTAACATCAGTATCCACTAACATATACCACTAACATACCACAATATATATATATAGGTATACCATTAAACTACTAAAACATACCATTCACATACCATATTCCAACTTGGAATCCCAGGCGCCAGTTTCAGAGCACAGAGCTCTCGCGCCCGCGGAGCGGATTCGGGGCCTAAGTCCTGGTGTTTCAGCTGTGGCTTTGTGGCTTTTAAGCACCAAAGAACATCTGGAAATGGTGATTTCAGGCATTTGGTTATGACCAACATAGCCATGATATAGATGGCCCATAGAAATAGATGGTTTACCGGTTTACCTATTATTTTAATGGTGATTTCCCAGTTGGCTACGTTAAATACCCAGAGGGTAAGGCATTTAAACAAATAAATCCAAATAAACATAATGATTTATGATGATTCATGGTGATTTCAATTTCAACGGATTTTAATGGAAATTAACAATTTCACCAAACAAAAATGGTGATTTATGATGACTGATGATGATTTATGATAGTTGTTCATAGGGTTTCAATGGGTTTAACCATTGAAGCACGCTAGAGTTGTGATTTAATGGACTTTCATGGGTTGTGATGGGAGCTAACCAACATGGTGGACTATCGTGGTTTTAATTGCGGCTTTATCATTGGCTTTGTCGAATCATTGATAACACAGATCACATGAAAACGAAAATACGAGCAATCACAATCAACAAGATAATCATAATGACAATAATAGACAATATGTATGGTATGGAAAATGACAAAAATAGATAATGATAATAATGACAACAATCATTACAATCAACATTATATTGTCATTATCACAAAATGTATGGTACTCGAAGCATGATAATGACAATAATAGACCCCAGCAGGGTATGGTTTAGAACAAACGCTTGGCAGATTTGCATTTTTTCTCTCATTGGTTGAATTTCTGAAACAAAAACGAGGCAGGGGGCCCCCTAGTTAGCTAAGTCGGTGTGTGTGTTAAGCAGGGCTTGTGGCCGATATATCGGCCTAATTAGATTGGCTAACATACACCAATAAACATCCAACTGGGGCCATAGCCAGTGCCCTCCAAATAGCACTCCTCCAGCAGTTCCAAGAAATATTTTGTGGCTTCAGTCGGAAATTCATTGGCCAGTTCCAGCAAAGGTCGACGCAAAGCATAGACCACTTGCATGCCGCGCGCGCTGATGTCGCCATCGCTACGGGCCATGATGTTGATGGAGAAATCCAGCAAGGCTAAGAAAAAGGATTCCAACTTCCTTGGAGGACCAGTCAGTGGAGAATTACCACCCAGTAAAAGATGGAAACCTTGGTATTTCGAATGGTTATTTGGAAGCCTTCAAGCCTTACTTGCCTATTCAAACCATTGGACAATTGGGCTTCGACGCCAAAGTTGGGCGCCGAAGTGAATGAGAGACTGTGATTCGACCCCTGATGATAGCATTGGCAATGTAAAACGGACCATGGGTGCCATGGGTGCCAATCCACCTACCTGTAGTAAACGAATGCTGGGCAAGTGTGACTGGTTTTGGGGTGTGTGCTGCCAATCTTTGGAATCCCCTCCACACCGAACAACTGGCACAAAATATCATGAATCATTACCAAAAGTTGATAAGTGTGGATAGTTCCCAAGTCCTCCACTACCCTCCAGTAATCAAACCTGGAAAATGCCCCATTTTATAGTGCAGTTTCCCATTTCCCAGTATTTCCAATGTTTGACCACCGAAGGGTGGTCTGTGGCCAGGGATCTTCCGATTCTCTAGGCCCAAAGCAGCTGCTGTGCGCGTCCGAACGCCTCAAGAGCAATCTTGTCATGGTAGTCTGGGTGCTGGTGGTTGCTGGATTTTGGTGGATTTAACTTTGAACTTTGGTTATATATTCTATGAGAATCTGGATTTATACATTTTGAATTTTGTTGGATTTACAGTTGGTGGATTCATTATGATTTATTTCTAAGCTGCATATCGTAGGGAGACAACCAATCACCTACATCAGTCGGCAAAGCAAAGGCAAACAGCACGTAGGCTGGGCTAAGCAACTGATCAAACATGAGGGAAGCGATCGTAGGAATAAAACGATACAGGGATTTTCCTGGATTTTCTCCTGCAAATATATGGAAAAACTAAGCTGCTCAGATTTCCACATCGTCTTTTTTCTTAAGGACATATCCCACTGGAATTGCACGTCTGCGTGCCAGGGGTAGGTACAGAGTCCCCATCATGTCAACACAAATTGCAATCGCCCTTTTAGACTGCCGAATCCATCATTCCAATACTGGTCGCTTGGGAACGGGATTCCCAGCTCATGGATTATGTCCCCTCCATTCTAGTGGGTAGTATAGCCTAACCATGCCTAACCAACAGGCACATCCGTCAGGCGCTTGCGAGGTAGCCACGCTGAACCAGCTTCAAACACGTCTGCGGCGCGCGATTGTCCAAGAGCCGCTCCACTGCCAAGCGATCAGTGGGGCACTCAGGGGCGAAAGGCAAGCCCTCCTGGACACACTTCCACTGAGGGCGAAACAATTTCGATGGCTGGGTCATAGACATTCTGTGAGGGATATCCGGGATATCCCCTATAAAAAGGCTGGGGAATAGCTTGGAGAAGGGCTTGAATATGCTGATGAAATGTTTGAAAATACTCAGACAACCCTTTTGCCACTTAGGATTGTCTGACGGGCCATTGAAAAAACATCACAGTGAGGTCGCCATACTAACAACCAGTCAGTGGTAAGAATTAACACCCAACACCAACATATCAACCAACAATGTCTGAAAGCAATGCTAATGAATCCAGGGGTGTCTTACCCTCTGGTAAACTAACATTGCTATTGAACATGACCATTTATAGTGGATTTTCCCATTAATCATGGTGATTTTCCATAGCTATGTTAAATTACTAGAGGGTAATGCTTAGTTAGTTCTTCTCTATTCAAGGTGATTTCTGGTGACCTTTTGACTCCGTCATCCAGCACCAAGTGGCACTAAGTTCCAATTGCCGAATGGGTTCAAGGGAAATTGTGCGGGAAACCCCTGCATTGGATGGTAAACACCAGGGTTTCAACCGGAGTCACATCAAACCAATCCACTATATCCATGGATCCTAGTGCTCCTAGTGCACCTAGTGCTCCTAGTGCTCCCATGTTGGTCTCCTCACCCTTTCCATTCTTCATGTAGTTCCGATAGGGGGCTTCAGCCTCTTCCGCAGTGAGGAGTTTGATGCAATCTTCACCCAGTCGGTCATCCTCATCCACATCCTGGGTGCTGGTGGTGAGTTGGGGGTCGTCATAGCATTTTAAATGAATGAATTTGAAACTCCAAAGAAACTCATCATGATACTCATATATTCAATCTCATCATGATATTCCTCCTCTTCATCATCATCATCATCATCGTCATCGTCATCATTATCGTATATTCATCTTCAAACTTCAGGAAATCAAACAAACCAAGTTATTGAAAGAACCCACCAAGCATCATTTTCACCTTCCGCCTCCTTGGCTTCTTCCGCTTCCTTGGCTTCTTCCGCTTCTTCGGCGTCCTCTTCCAACTCCTCATGGATTGCTTTGTGGGGGATTCAACCCACAAAGACGGTGCGCCTGTGTATATAACATATATAAATATATATTGTCATTTTTTAAAACATATGAAACATTTTCTGTTGAAATCGTGCGCGCGCAGGCGCGCGAGCATTTAACACATGCGCGCGCGAGGTGCGCAAGCACAGACAGGCGCGCGCGCGAGACGCGCAAGCAAAGACAGGCACGCGCGCGAGGCGCGCGAGCACTGCGCGCGCGCGCTCACTTCGGACACGCGCGCGCGCAAATAAGCTCTCCAAAAGTGGATTTGGTGAGCTTATTTGCGATTTGGAGAGCTTATTTGCGCGCGCGGAGAGCTTATTTGCGCTCGCGCGTGTCGGACGGGCGCGCGCGTGTGTCGGACGGGCGCGCGCGTGAACACGCGCGCGCATCTTGGCCTTGCTTGCGCACCTCGCGCGCGCGCGCCTCTATTTGCTCGCGCGTCTCGCGCGCGCGCCTGTCGTTGCTCGCGCACCTCGCGCGCGCACGTGTTAAATGCTCGCGCACTCGCGCTGCGCACCCCGCAGCTGGTGAGGCACCATATATGAACTCCTATATTTTTTGAATCAAGCCAATATATATATATATATACACAATATTATAGTATATATTTTAAAAATATGAATTTCCATGGATGTATGGAGATTCAACCAACACATCTGAAATTAAGTGGGTCAGTGGGTTGGTTTTAGGGAAAATCTGTGGGTGAAACCATGGTTTTACCATCCGCATATGGAATAATATGAATCATATGGGAAGTTCCTGCTTTTCTCGCTTCAACCATTTCTGGGAGAAACGAAATCTTCGCCCACGCCTCACCACCTTGGGGCTTTACAACGAGAAGTAACAAAATGACCACCTGAAATTCTCCAACAATGCTTTCATACGGGCGGCCTTTTTTTGCAGATACGGTGTGTTGACTCTTTGGTTCATGGCAGTGCTGGCAGTACCAAAGTGCATTCGCTACACTCCCTTTCCCTACATTCTCTTTTTGTCGTTGCAACAACGCCTGTCCACACCATTCAATATACTAGATATCAAAGGATTCTAGAATCACTGCTGGCAATTTGTCTTCATCCTCATCACATGGAATATGGGTCAAACTTGAGTACCCCGAGAGTACAAGTCAATCCCAAAAAACCGACTCAAATTTCCACCGACACCCCATATTCTTCCCATTAAATCCCATAAAAATCATGAAATTTCCCGTCCAAAACCCCGCCAACCACTGCCACTGGCACCTCCTCCTCCTCCCCTTCCTCCGCGCCCGCCGAAGCCGGCCCAACACCCTCCGACTCCGCGTCCGCGTCGTCCAGGTCCTCTCCGAGGTCCTCTCCGAGGCCGTCGGCTCGCGCCAGGCGTTGGCCTTGGAGGAAATACACACTGAAACACCAAACTTTGTAAAGAACCGTTAGGTAAATTACCAAGAATACATCAGAATTGTTATTTGAAAATAACATTACCTGTTATATACATCTGTATATATATTTGATTGATTGATTGATTTGTGCACGTAAATTAGATCACAACTATACCCAACATATATCAACATATTACACTCATTGTTGATTTCTGGCATCTATAGATCCCTTGACATGGCTAATCTTGCGTGTCTGGTGTATTTGTATATTTATGGACGCCTCATTCCTCCATGTATTGCCGCAAGAAAACCATGATTGATCATGGTCACTCCGTTCACCAGCCATCAACTCAACTTTCTCCAGCATTCTTCTGCCATTCTCATGCATTTTCCCCATATTTTCCAATTCTTTCCCAGGTTTTTGGTTGCCCTTCATGGTTTTTCCAAAATTCCCAGTTTTTCATGGTGAGATCAGCACCAAAAACCATCCCAAAACCCTAGGCTTTTGACAGGTCTCGTTCCAAGGCTTCCAACTTCTCAGCCTTTTCCCTGGCGATCTCTTCCGGCGTCTTGGTGCCTCCAAAAGGCTGGCAACTGTTGTTGCGTTGGTTAAAGGGATGCCAAAAAAGATGGGTTGGTTACCTTCTGGTAATTTAACATAGCTATTGAACATGGCCATTTATAGTGGATTTTCCCATTAAAAATGGTGATTTTCCATTGCTATGTTAGTTTACCAGAGGGTATCGGGATTTCACCAAGGGATCATAATACCATTTTTTTGGATATGATTGGATATGTATGGTCCCTATGATCAGATCTAGGGATCATAATCCGTGCATTTTGAAGATCTGAGAATTGGGACCATACTGGACGGGATTTTCGGGATGATAATCCATAATTATGATATTAATCTATATTAATCTATCGTCTATATCAATCATAAGACCCACATGAAAGTCAATCATATAACTAAAAATAATCATTCATCAACTAGATATGAACTGGTCACAGGGATCATCATCCTATTCAAGGGAAGCTAGAGAAAAACAGGAAGTCACATACCAAACCATTAGAGGTTCCCTCAAATCTTGGGAGGGATGTCTGAAAATCTGGGTGATCTCTTCTGGTTGGTAGTTTCAACCATCTTGAAAAGTATGAGTTCGTCAATGGGAAGGATGACATCCCATATATGAAATGGAAAATAAAAGCCATGTTCCAAACCACCAACCAGGGGTGATCTCTTCTGTTTTTGTTTGGGCATGAAATCCAAGGCACGTTCAGTTGCCACCGCTTTTCTGTCAAAGATCAACTCTTTCAGCAGCTTGTCGTAGCTATCTGGCTCCACACGTTCGATGGGCTGTAGAGCTTTGGGTGGGCGAAAATTTGACTTCAACTCATCCAAGATGTTGGAAAATTCTTTGTCCTCAGAACGCAAAGCTGGTTTCAATCTATCTCAAACCATGTCTGTGATTTCGGATCACAGGTAAGTCATGAGTAATCTTCCTGGAATAGGGGATCTTTCTAGATTCTAGTCTTCTAGATTGATGCAGAATCAAATAAAGATTGCTGTAATCATTCCACCCCAATCAAGCGAAATTGGTTGGCAGTTTCTCAAATCCCACAAAAACCATTTTGCCCATGGGGGAATCATCTCATTTTCAGGTATGGCTAGGGAAAAAAACGACACCCACACACGAACCAGAAAAAAACTGAACAAAAAACAAATCCACCAGTTTTTGGTCCAAAAATACTCTATATAATATCCATCACTTTTTAAAACCCAAAAAAACCGACCAAAAACACCCAAAACCTGCAAACGACTCCAAAGTCTCCAACTCCCCGCGCTGTTGTTCCAGCTCCTCGCGTTCCCTGGCGGCGTCCTCCTTCCGCTGCCGCCCCTGCTGGATGAGGTCGTCCACCGTTGCCGTCGCCCAGTCGTCCTCGTCGTCGCCCACGGCGGAGCTGCGGAGCTCGGCGTCGTTCAAGGAGGAGAGGGGCCGGCCGCGGTGCTGCAGCTCTTCCTCCTGCTGAAACCAAGGGCAACCAGGTAACCATGGTAACCGGGTGGTGAAAATATGAGAAAGTATGTGTAATTTTATGGTTAATCCATGTTAATCCATGTTAATCCCACCCCCTTGTTATCTTGTTCAACACCCCCGTGGTTAATGGTCTCAGTGATGTTGTTTCATCCCAACAACAAAACATGGGTTCTGTGATGTTCTATGGGGTGTTTAATATCAATTGATGTAAACATCTGGTTAGTAATCCCCGCCACAATAAAGTACGCCAAATCCCGGGACAGATGGGTAACCCCCGCACAATCCCATTCCCGCTCCAGCTCGATGGTCCCTGTCGAACCCAAGGCACATGGTTTGTTTTTTCACATATGTCACATTTTCGCTTGGGTGATGTTCAAAACTCCACCTAGTCTTTTTTTTCGTCCGAAATTTTCACCGATTTTCCACATCCCCACATGTTTTCGGACCATTTTTTGTCCAGTCCTTCCCCAAGTTGAAGCTCTTTTTGGACTGTCGCTGTCGCAACTTCACCAACCTCTGCACACTGCCACCGACACCGCTGCCCACGCTCTCGACGTCGCCACCCAGGCGGGCGTCGCGGAAGGTGGAGCTGCGGTGTGAGGTCAACTTGTCCTGCGGAATGTCGACTGACTTGAAATCACTTGAAACAAGCCAGTTATATATATATATATATATATATCCATATGTCACATCTCTAACATTGGCTCTCCCATTCTTTTCTGACATTCGCATGCTTCAAAATGATCCTACTCTAGGTCCTGAAATCGATGCAAAACAAAAAAAAGATGGTTTGACTGGCACGCCCTTGCTGATCCAGGTGTATGAGTTGTGATGCTCCGCAGGCATTTTGTTGCACAAGTGGGGTGTATGGTGTAAGTAAATTTTAGTAAACTTTCGATGGACTCAATTCATTCAATTTGAAACCTATAAAAAGGGCTCTTTAACCTATCATTGCCTGTAGTTTGGGCTTTGCTGGCCATGGAAATTCCTCGGGTTGTGCCTTCGTTGCCCGTTTCGAAATCTGTCTCAGTATCGTTGGACGAAGGAATCGTTCTCACAGCAGCCATGTTTCTCACCTCATGAGGTTCTGGAATCGTTCTCATCGCATTGGTTTCTGGAATCGTTCTCATCGCATTGGGGTTAGGAATCGTTCGCGTGACATTCATCGTTCTCAAGCGCATTGGTGTACGGGATCGTTCTCACCACATTGGCTGTTGGAATCGTGCTCAGCATGTCAGTCGGTGTGTGTGAAACAATCTGAAACAACTGCTGCGAACTTTTTTTCGCGAAAATCTGAAGGGTTGGGAAAAAAATGCGAATGGGGAAGGTAGCGACTTAAAGCATACCTTTCAGTGTTTCGCAACGTTCTCTCTGAAACCCTACCCTTCAAATTTTTGAGAAAAAAAAAACCGCGCGACACAGAACCTGGACGTAGTGGGCCGGTAGGGTTCCACACAGGGTAGGGAAAGGTAGGCTGGATGTGCAGATAGACACGCATGCTGAGAATGACGGGAAGATGTCCAAAAACTAACGCACTGGTCTCAGAAATCGTTCTCATGCCAAGAATCTTTCTCACCGCAGGCATCAGTCTCACCACATTAGTAGAAAGTGGAATCCTTCTGAATTTGCTGAAACGTTTTGAAACGGTTTTCAGACCTGTCTACAGGTTCAAGAACTTTTGCAATGAAAAATGCCTGCCTGGAACTTTACGCATTTTCGGAATAGAGGCGTTGTTTTGTTTCTGTAAAGATGTAAAGGGAACTTGGAGAATTTTGCCCATTCAATGTTAGTGGAAGTTTTTTCCCTCTTTCGATTCCTTGTCGTTGCTATTTAACCTATCATCTGCAACGGGAAGAAAACATGCATTTCCTTGAGTGATGCCCACTTTGCTATTCTCAGGCGTTGGTGGTCCCCCGCATCATTTTCTGAAGATTTTACATCTAAAACGGGCAAAAGTAGGGACGGCTATTGGGAATGGGGAAGGTAGAATTAGAACATCAATATTTTAACAATTTAAATATTATATATATATATATTGTATCTCAATTTACATTAAGTATAGTGTTACCACGTGTTATCACTGTTGGAAGCAAATGATTACGTTGCTAAATGAGATCTCGCTCGTTGCAACTGGCTTCAGCAGGGACCATATGCCAGTGCTATGACCGGTTAAGTTTGGCTCATGGGGATGCCACCCAAAAATGCAACGGAAACCCGTTGGGGATCCCAGGTGGAGAAGACGCATCAATGGGATCCCATTTATATGTTTGATGTTGAAATACCCATTCAATATCCAATCAAATATATGGATAAATATGGATAACCTCTCTTTGATACACTTTTGACCATCTGCAGAATTTCCTGGGCAACAACATGCACCATGGCCTTCGACTTTGACCTAATGAAGATTTTCTACGTTGTCATCCTGCTTTATTTTATTTCACTCACATCACTTCCAAGAGTCCCAGATTCCCAAATGTGTCGTTCTGATCTGTCTTTGAATTAGTGCCCATGGTACTTGGTGGCTCATACCAGTTGATGAGTGGGTCATACATACAAGTAGGGAAAGTAGGGTTACGGGTTCGTCCAGCTACAACTGGGGTGAACTACCCGCCTAGTACTGTAACTGTGGTGCACCACGAAGTATCCTTTGATTTGAACCTGTCCTTCAACAGTTTTCCCTTCCGATCACTGCTGGACGCAGCCCTGGATCTTTCCACATTGCGGTGCTCCCCTCTCACGCGCTCGTTCAGCACGGCGTGCCTCCGACGCTTATTATGGAAGCCTGAGGGTCGCTTCCGCAGAGAATTGGCCACAAATGAGGCTGCAGCTAGCTGTGTGAAGGTATATGCTCAAAGCAGGATGTCCACTTGTGACCACGTATGTCATACAGCCTTCCAAGGACTGAGGTATATACAGTCTGGCACCATCCTTTGAGCTCATTTGAGATCATTTTCATGATGTATCCTCTGGTGTCATCAAACCTCCATGGCCAGTTTGGGGGATTTCCCACCGCTGATCTGCTTCACTGCAATCCCTATTTGGCAACGTTTCTGCGCCATTTAATATGTATAACCCCACAAACTAGAGGCTAGTGACATGCGGAGTGAGAAAACGCATCCCCCCACACCGAAAAACATGTCATCTAGACCATAGTATACTTATTATAGATTTTATTTTTAGATTATTTCAGTAAAATACCACCATATGCCACCAACATTATAGTGACAAATCTTACATTTCTATACATTTCTATCTTTTTTTGGGCTTCCTATACCAGGTAAAGAAATATTTAGCAGCCATGGACCATGCTCACCCCAACCCCAACTCAACGCAGACAGGCCACTATCATATGGATTCGGGCCGCTTGGAGCCTTTGGGCCACCGCTCTTCTGTGCCGCTTGGGGTTTCTTCTTGGCCATGGCAACTCACCCAACATGCACGTGGAGTCAGGTGGCAGAGCCACAAGTTGAGGTGTGTTTGGTAAACCATGCAGTGACAAAGGTAGGATCAGTAGTTCACAGCGAATCCAAGAATGTGCAAAAACTATCAAATATTGTGATTATGTTTTTGAGTGCTTGAGTTGGTTCAATCTCAGATCCTATCGATATATCTACAACAGGATGATGAAACATGCTAATCAAGATAGTGGGTAAACAAAACATCAACTAGAAATGCTAGAACCACTGTTCTTGAGATTGGATTGAACAGCAATGACCCCCAGTAATTTTGAGTCGACGTAATATGCAAAAAGTGCTTGGGCTTCTCTCAAATGAGCTGCAAACTGCGCTGGCCATCGAGCTTGGGTCATGTCATCCAGTCGATTTCTCGTCATGCTTGGGCAACGTCAAAGGATCTCAATTTATAGTCTAATGTGGGATTATGATGGATAATGTGGGTAAAACAATAATAAACCATCCCCCAAATCATCATTTTTATGTGGTATAAACCATTCCCAAATGAATGTTGTTTATCATAGTTTTACCCACATTAGTATGGCAACTAGGTCAAGTTCAAGCCCCAAGGTCTTTCCTTTTCCGGGCTTTGAGGCTTTTCCGGTGTCTGGCCCTTCGCTGACTGAAAAATCGCGTGAATTATTGTTCACTTGTCCCGACTATGGCAAACCCAGCGGTAATACCACAATTTCCTAGGCCATCCTGGGCCTACAACAACTCAATGTGGAAAATTGGACACGCTTATTGAGATGTTGTTCTGTAATGCCAACCCCGGATTGATAAAGACCTTGGCTGTTTAATTGGTGAGGCACCCTTTTCATGACATTATCATCACTGTTTGGAGGTGCTTCCGCAAATTACTGAACGAGGGTTGATATATATATATATATATACATATATATATATTCTTTATGCTTTTACCATCCAGCAATCAAAGGTGGCAATCGAAAATCGCCCATTTACAGTTGATTTTCGCATTCAAACCTACATTATTTGTGGATTTCCATGCATCCATTTTTGAGTACCGGAAGTGTGTTCTTTTTGTTTGGGATAGGGTGCCACATTCATAGAAGCCACCAGGATCCCCTTATGATCCTTCACCTTTCCTGGCCTTCAGCTTTGCGACGGAGATCATGACCCCTTGCCGCCTTGCCCTGGCCGTGGGTCTCAAGAAACTGGGCCACTGGGGCATGTTTGCCACAAAAAAAGGATCATTTATAGTAACATAGCTATTGAAAATGACAATTTATAGTTGATTTTCCCATTAAAAATGGTGATTTTCCATAGCTATGTTAAATTACCAGAGGGTATTATTATTTTTTAACATGTGACTTTCATTCATCGAACGGCTCCTTCATTGAAATGTCCGTCCGATCTGGCACACTCAGGTCCGAGCTACAGCACATCCGGATGATCGAGTTCTTGAATGGTTCAACTAGCTCTTCAAACTATTGACCCTAAAAGAACACCTCACCAACTAACCAGTAGCGGATAAAGGAGCAGTTTCTGAAACATACTTCCGGTGACCGGTTGGTGGTTTCCATCCAATCACTTCATTGTTGGGGATTCCCAATGACACCGGCGGCGTTTTAAACCGAATCGATGTCCGCAGTCGAGCACTTTGGCCCATGCCCACTTCTCAGTCGTCCATGCCGCAAAAGCCTCCCAACTCCTTGAACCTCAACTCGATGCCGAGTTAACTCATGGATGTTGGGATAGAAACATGGAGAAAAACCCTGAAACTTGTCTGGTTGGTGGTATACCTACCACTCTGAAAAATATGAGTTCGTCAGTTGGGATGATGAAATTCCCAATCTATGGAAAGTCATAAAAGCCATGTTCCAAAGCACCAACCAGTTGTGGAATAACCAACTGGTGCACTAACCAACGGCGAAACCGTGAGACTAGGCCAGCCATGGGGCACGATGTCTCGCATGAGCGCGGAATTTTTGATGGTCATGTGATCCGTCTCCACCTGCTCCGGTAGGTGAGCTACCCCCCAGAATCAGATGGGAAGATGGGGGGGGGAAGTTACTGCAACCTTGCCACGGCTCAAGTTTCTCAAGAGCTCGTCAGCACACACCACTATAGCCTCCCACCTGTTGAGTTAGTAACAGTTAGATGATTCACCTATCAAAAATGCTGATGTCCCAGAGCAAACTGTTGAATCACCCGACAGTAGACGTTGTCGACGTTTTCTGCAGAGCATCTCGCGATGCCTCGTGGTAGTGGAAGTCTTCCGTGGTCCACTCAGACCATTTCTTGAAGCCTTCTCGATCCCAGTTGCAGCCGGACTCAGCCACAGAACCGGTGATCTTTTTGCCTCGTGACAACGGCGGGTCACCGATTTTTCTCATGTACTGTCCCCAAGGAGTTACGCACATACCGTCACATACCATTCTAATGTGGTAAACCCAATCATAGACCTCATTGAACTGGCACTGTGCCACTAGAAAACCAGAGTTTCCTGCAACTGCAGCCAAGAGACGTCGCTCCCAGTACTGCAGATGTGCAGGATCTTTTTGCGCAATGTAGGAGTCAGCGTCCTAAAAAGATGGAGGGGCCGAGTCCAAACCCATGAATTTGAAGCATGAAAGGTGCGGGATGGATGGGATGGGATGGGATGGAAAACCCATGGAAAATTGGGATATTCATGGGGATATTCTTGAGGAACAAAATTAAATAACCAAATCCCTTGTCTCTTGAATTCTTGAATCAATCCTGGGCGACTCTGGGATCCTGCAAATGCATGGGTTGACACCCGCATGGTACCTTCGTGAAGAATCCCAAAGAAATGGTGTTGGATGGTGCGCTCCAAATTTCTCTATGCCCCAATTCCTTGGGCTTGGCGGCTTGTCACTGCTCAGTCGCCATCCTTGAGATAAAAAATTGATGGTCGCTTGGCTGCCAAGACTCTGCAGTATGCTTGGCCACCAGCACGTGCAAATCACAATCAAACTTGTGATACCTTAGTTGCAGCCAAGCGCCAAACTAAGTTAGTTGACTCAACTGCCACATTGTGCCAACTGACTTACCAAACCAAATGCAAAAAACATGGTCGCATGATGCGGTGGAACACTGTGAAACCTTTGAATGTCGTTGGATGAATCTCTGTGTTTGGATCATCGCCAAAACAATCGAGGTGTCATTAAATATAGTATTACTTTGATCTACCCCCGGGGCAGTAACAGTGAGCACAAGCCAGGGGCACAACATGGGCACCAGCCAAATGCAGAAAATAAGGGTCTAATCTTGTGATATGATACAGATAAATTCTTATACCAAAACCAAAAAAAAGGATCAGGTAGACACCATGAATATGTAAATCATCAAATGGTTGAAAAAATGTTTCATGTGAATCGGAAGGAATCAAGCTGCACAGGTGTCTGTTTCTCTCTTCTTGGCTGTGGCTGCTACAGATTTGCTAGGAACTGGCCAACTTATCACCAACATTCCGTTGAAAACCTTAGCAATTCTTAGTAACTACAACAACCTTAGCAATGTGACAACTAGCAACAATAACAACAACCGCCCCCCACCAGCGACAGCACCACCACGACCACCACAACCAGCAGTACCAGCAGCGGCAGCAGCAGCACCACCACCACCACAACAACCCCACCAAACGTAAGGGTGGGGGGTTGGGGCTGGGCCTGGGGCTGGGCTTGGCTGCTGGGGGCTGGGGTGGTTGGGTTGGGCCTGGGGGCGCTGGGGCTGCGGCTGGGCCTGGCGCTGGGGCTGGGGCTGGGGCTGGCGCAGTTGACTTTTTTGGTTTTCCTGTTTTCGGTTTTTTGTGCTCGGCTGGCGCTCAAATTGTGCTCGGCTGGTGCTCAAATTGTGCTCGGCTGGTGCTCAAATTGTGTCGGCTGGTGCTCAAATTGTGCTCGGCTGGTGCTCGAATTGTGCCCGGCTGGTGCTCAAATTGTGCTCGGCTGGTGCTCAAATTGTGCTCGGCTGGTGCTCAAATTGTGCTCGGCTGGTGCTCAAATTGTGCTCGGCTGGTGCTCAAATTGTGCTCGGCTGGTGCTCAAATTGTGCCCGGCTGGTGCTCAAATTGTGCTCGGCTGGTGCTCAAATTGTGCTCGGCTGGTGCTCAAATTGTGCTCGGCTGGTGCTCAAATTGTGCCCGGCTGGTGCTCAAATTGTGCTCGGCTGGTGCTCAAATTGTGCTCGGCTGGTGCTCAAATTGTGCTCGGCTGGTGCTCAAATTGTGCTCGGCTGGTGCTCAAATTGTGCTCGGCTGGTGCTCAAATTGTGCTCGGCTGGTGCTCAAATTGTGCTCGGCTGGTGCTCAAATTGTGCTCGGCTGGTGCTCAAATTGTGCTCGGCTGGTGCTCAAATTGTGCTCGGCTGGTGCTCAAATTGTGCTCGGCTGGTGCTCAAATTGTGCTCGGCTGGTGCTCAAATTGTGCTCGGCTGGTGCTCAAATTGTGCTCGGCTGGTGCTCAAATTGTGCTCGGCTGGTGCTCAAATTGTGCTCGGCTGGTGCTCAAATTGTGCTCAGGCTGGTGCTCAAATTGTGCTCGGCTGGTGCTCAAATTGTGCTCGCTGGTGCTCAAATTGTGCTCGGCTGGTGCTCAAATTGTGCTCGGCTGGTGCTCAAATTGTGCTCGGCTGGTGCTCAAATTGTGCTCGGCTGGTGCTCAAATTGTGCTCGGCTGGTGCTCAAATTGTGCTTTTCTTGTGGTCCCCCTGGTGCTCGTTTTGTCGTCCCTTTGGACCTTTCCTTGCCCGGGCTAATTTTTTTCATTTTTTTCGCAATTATTTTTGCAGTCTCCTTGTGCTTTTTTTTGCTTTTTTTTGTGCTTTTTTTGTGCTGTTTTGTGTTTTTTTTTTGGTGTTTTTGTTTGCTTTTTTTTGTGTTTTTAAATGTTTTTTTTTTTGTGTTTTTGTTGTGCTCTTTTTGTGTCTAGCTTGTGCTGGTTTTGGCGGTTGGTACTTACGCGTCAATGAAGTTTTGCGATTTAGGGTTCGAATGGGCTCGGGGTTTAGAATTTAAAGTTTAGGATGGATGCCAAGTATATAACATTTCCATTTTCCCACATGGCCAATCTGACTCCATGGTTGAGCACATTACGGTGCATTGTGCCAGTTGCATCAAGCGGCCAAATCCTTTCACAATATGTTCTAGTCCTTGCTTCGATGCAGACGCCTTGCTCGCACCTTCTCAGGGTAACACATGAATGTATTGTCTGTAGTCTGCGCTCTTCTTTTCTCAATGTTGGAATGCAACTGATATGCTTGAAAGATCTTGAAAGTGAAGCCCCTGTCTTGAATTCTGAATTCTGTATCAGAGGTTTGGAGGGCAGGTTGACGTTTTTTTTGGGCACCTCCTAGCCGAGATTTTTGGAGCAATTTCCTTGTGCTCGTTTTGAAAGGGTAGGTTAAAGGAAAATCATTTATCTGCTGTTACTGGGCGGGGGGTAGATCAAAAGTATTACTGACCCAAATCAAACCAAACGTTTGGGGTTTATTCGTATCTCAGAGAACTCTCAATCCAATCAATGCATTGCCGGTTGACGGTTGACATGTTATTTTCATTTTTTTCCGTGCTTATGGCACCTAACTTTCCTCTCCATGGGGGCCGACCCTCTGGTACTTTAACATGGAATATGGCCCATGAAAATAACTGATGTACCTATTAAAAATGAATGGTGTTTTTCCAATGGCAAACTGTGAAACCACCATGAAATCACCAATATTACCACCATTATAAAACAACACCATTATATAATTCAATGGGAAGTGTAGGGCCCTAGATTAGAGGTACTGTACCATATGAAACCATAAAAATTCGGGGCATGTCCCCTTACATAGGCCTGAGAAAATGGTAGGTAGCTCCAATCTAGGTACCTGAAATGGTCATTGATTAACTTGGATTTGCTTAAGGGGTTCCCCCCTCAAAAAAATATATTCCCTATAGATTCCTAGGTCATGGATTTCCCATCGGAAAATAGAACATCATGTTTAGCAAATTCAGGTTAAAGCCACACCATTCAATCATTCAACACTATTCATATAACCATCCATTCATGGAAGGCAACATCCCATTAATGGATGAAACCATCAATATTCAAACTTATGGAGGTTAAATCATTAGACACAATCCCATACAATCCATTATAATTATTTATAATCACTACTATTTTTATGAGTTGAAATCTCACATGAACAGTGTCAAAAACCCAGTGCTTTGTTGTTTTCTTTTGGAGTTCCCATATGAACCAGTTCGCATCCAGCTTTTTGACGTTGCTCAAATAGTCCCATAGTGATACAGTTATACCCACACTTCCTGGTAGAATCCCCATAGTTATACCCAGAAATCCCTATTAATGGGTTAAAGCCCCATATTAGTCCCATAGTTGTATACAAATCAATACTGATTTATGGGACCATAATCCATGGTTAATGGCTTAAAATCCCATATATCACGTAGTGGCCATGGGTTAAAATCATGATAAATCACCATTAATGGCTTAAAATCGTGATAAATCACCATTAATGGCTTAAAATCCCATAAATCATTGGGTGAATTCCAGGATGGCCATGTTTTTTTTTTTGATGCCATGCGTCGGCGCCCGCTGGGCCGCTCGCCGCGCGTGTTCTTCGAAGAGCCGCAGGCCGCGGGACCATTTCCTCGGCCAGGTTTTTGGAAACGTGGAAAAAAACCACCGGGAACCACCTTGGATGGGTTGAAACATGTTGAAACCCTATAAATGATGGGATAAGCCAACTGGTGAGGAAGAATGATATTTTTTTAGTGATAATGGTATAACACGAATGATAATGGTATAACACAAACTAACTTAGTGGATGGTTATTAGTGATAGTAACAAAGAATGATAGTAATAGTTATTAATGATGATAACTAATAGTGATGAATAACTAAGTAGCAAAGGTGTCAGAATAATAGTGATAAATAGTAATAGCGACAAATAATGATAGTAATATATAGTAATCATCATCACCAATCATTCCATCTTATGAAACTAATCATGTATCACTAGGAGGTTGAAACTTCGAGCATCTTCCATCTTCCATGATTGAAATGATGCCGAATCACTGGCCTATGACATTTTAATGGTGACCAGGAAACACGAATATATATCCACATAATTCTATACGTTTTACTTCTTAAGCTGGGGTGTCCTCAAAACCATGGGTTGCAATACTAAAATTGTCGATTTTTCGATGATTTGGGGGTATCCCCATGACTTAGGACCCCCTCAGAGAAAAATCTTCAGCAATGATATAAACCACCTTCACCAGCTGAGGTACTGTATGAGAGCTTCTGCAGCTCGATTTCCAGCACCACCCATCTTCTCATACTGAGACACCGTATCCGGCTGAAAAAGTCGGTAGAAACCCAGGACGTCTTCGCACCTCGAAGGTGTCTATGGCTTTGTTTGAAGATAGGGTAGCCATGTCAGCCATATCATTAATTTACAAGATCTCCCCCAAGAAGCAACATAGAGTAAGTACCCTCTGGTTATTTAATATAGCCATGGTATAGATGGCCCTAATCGAAATAGATGGTTTACCTTTTAAAAATGGTGGATCTTTCCATGACTATGTTAAACAACCAGATGGTAATATGATAAAATAACCATCTATAAATGGGCCATTTGCAATAGGTAAACTATCTATTACTATTACAAATATGGTAATAGTAGCGCCATATTTTTTAGGGGACACAAAGCGCCCCAGCCGACCAGATCAGCCCAAGGGTCAACATGCGATAGCCTTCCTCCGACAAAGTGGGAACGTTGGGAGGCGGCCCATCGTTGGCGAAGACCACCAATGGCTGCAGATTCAATTCCTGGCAACTTAGGTCAGGTAAGCTCCACCTTCCATGGAAATTCAATCATTTACAGGGAATTTGTTGATACTTCGATCTTGTACCTCTCAAAATCTCTCAAACATGGTGATTTTCCAGGTCACCATGTTAAATCACCAGAGGGTGATGGAATTGGTAAACCTGTACGTTTGAAACATTCATGTCCAATTGACTCATGGTGGAAACCACCCCCCAGCTTCACTCCCCGCATCCGGTCCTGCTTCAAACGGTAGGCCAACAAGGCCATGAACTGACCCCCCACGCCATGCGATAGGAAGCCAAAGGGTGCACCCTCCGAAACGCCACCCGAGGCATGGGTCCTCGCTAAGGCAAAGCATTCACCGCCAAACAACCCGTGAATTGTGGAACATGAACCATGTTAACCATATGAGATATCTCATTCATATATCGATACATATCATGTGATATCTATTGATATCTTGTATCGTTTGTCTCCATATACGTTAACCATATCATATATTCTAGCATCTACAGTGCGCTAACCCGCCAATGAAGCGTTCAATGATCCACTACCGAGCTACTCAAAGGCTGGCCGCATCACTTGGAAGGCGTCCTCCGGAGCGTTGGCTAACGTACATTTCTATATCACTGTATCTGCACTTGTATCTCTGCACTGTACAACTATATATACATTCAATATGCACACACACACACATATATATATATATCTATAATATGTATGTGTGTATTTATATATACAGAGAGGCAAATTAAGACTGATATTTGCACATAGAGATAACATGTGTATAATTGTAACTGTGCATGCTTGACTGTGCAGCAGGCAAGGTTTATGAACAATCGTCCAATCCAAGCTTAGGAGTTGTATTCAAAAGTGGTGTGCTTTAGGTAGATAGGACAGTATGGGATAGGGCATGAAAGAATAGGATAGGATTAAAAATTCATCCGACTCATATTCTGAAGCATCGATCTAAAAATCTATTCGCAGGATTGTTGCAGGATAGGATAGGAGAAGAGGATTCTTATATGGATTGTTATACTCTAAGAGTTAAAGGGTGGCTGGATAGTATGGCAGGCTTTTGCGATATAGCATATATATATATATGTATATATGCATATATCACAAATTGTTGGATAATGTTGGATAGTTATTCTTATCCGACAACGTGGATTATGCTCACATTCCAATTTGTTGCTGGTTAAATCATGTTAAATCATCTTAAATAATCCCCATGTTATTTCATCTCAACCCACTTTCAATGGGTAAGACCTTCGTGGATGATCTATAATCTATATGATCTTCCCATATTCCATGGGTATCACAACTTATACTGTAGATCATCTACACTTTCATGGATGATCATCTTAAATCACCTTTATGAAATCATCATCAACAAAAATCATCTCAAATCACTGTGTATAATTCATCTCCATCAACATATCCATCAACAAACATCATCAATCATATGGATGTTATCTGGTTGGTGGTTTCAACCCCTCTGAAAAATATGAAAGTCAGTTGGGATGATGACATTCCCAACTGAATGGAACAATAAAATTCATGTTCCAAACCACCAACCGGTCTATAGTTACAACAAACATCATCTTCAATCATATGGAAGATATAGTTACCATCAATCATCTTCAATCATATGGATGTTAAATCAGTCAGTTGAAAAATCTTCCAAACCACCGATCAGTTATCTATAGCTACAACATGTTACAGATTCACCCCATCGAGCCCCGCCATCGTCCTCCGCGCGTTCTTCCAGGCTCCGATCCCAGGCTTCCTCCGGACGAAAGCCATGCGCCCGCGGCTCCTGGGATGGCGATGGCGATGGTTGGGGAGGCCTCCGGAAGCATAGCAATTCAACGTTGGTTTATGGTAGATATATCTAGAATATCATGATATATGAATAGTTCATGGATGTTTTTATATGTTTATGATAGCAATGGTGGATATAAATGATATTTCTGAATAGTCAATGGATGTTTTAATGGATGTTTATGGTATGGCGCATGGGTTTATAACTTACAACACCTTGTACACAAATGTACAAAACTGTCATAACTATGGTTGATGTGTAATATAGAAATATCATGATATATGAATAGTTAATAGCTTGATAAAGCAACTGGGACCTTGGAGGCCTCAGGTGATTACCATTCAATTAGGTTGGTATTCTTACTAAACATGATGGACCTGGTGGTTAAATACCATTGCTTCATGACCTGGTGATTCAATAACATTATATAGGTTGGTTTACGATTCATGAAATTATTGAAGAATTACACCAGGGCGCTTTTACCATCAGACATCTCATTGATGAAGTTTCTGTAAAACGCTGCTACAACCTCCTACACACAAAAAAACTTGGATTCGTTTAAGGGAAAATTACAGCAAACTACCAGTATTGACCATGCTTTTTACCATCAAATATGGGGGCTTTTCTGCAGACTTTCCCATCAACCAACTCTGGGGAAACACATGATTACAGTAAAACCATCCCAACATAAATGTCGCACAGTTGCAAACCCGGAAATATGAGATAAATATAAATAAATATCATCGAACTACCATCCTGGCACCAAAAAGTCTGCATCTTTTCGGGTAGCCACTAGATGATACTAGATGCCCGAGGTGCGTAGACGGCCACTTCACACCAGGGAGGGGCAGAAGTGGCAAGCTCCAGCCAGAGCCTGGCTAGCGACTAAGGCTTTGCTATGGCCATCCCATTTTTGTGGAGGAAATGACCACTAAATGACCCACGTTTTTGGACCATGGCACATCATGCACATAATTATGTTCCTTGACTGTCAATAATGACATCACCAAGCCAATCGAATCTCACCCCAAGTCGCAGTTGGACAATGTTTTTTTTTATGACATGAATTTTCGGGGGTTGCGCGCTGAGGTTGCCATGCCATGCGACATGTAGTTGTCAGCAGCACCAGGGAAGCAGTAGAGACGGATCATGGGCTTTCTTGACTTCTCCGGAAACTGTTTCTTGGCCTCCAAAGGTGCGACTGGTGGAAGACCCCAAATGAGTTCATGATTTCCAGAAAAGCACTGGGCATACATGTGTGTACACCATTATTGTGATCATTGTTAATATTGTATTTATTTTTGTCAGTATAAAATTGTAACATGATGCAATTTATATAACATGATGCAACATCACCCCCAAATAGTAGATATCCTGACATAGCATATATGGATCATATCTCACTATACTTATTATGTAAATAACATCTGGTTGGTGGTTTTAACCCCCCTGAAAAATATGAGTCAGATTGGATCATCATCCCAACTATTGGGGAAAAATGTTCCAAACCACCGACCAGACATTATATATAACATTATATAACACTTAGACTTAGACTTATCATGTAGCCATCCACATGGACACTGGACACACGGGACATTGGCCTTGTCCGGCAACGCGGCCCAGGTCGGAAGCCCCACGGTTCGTGGCATCACTGGCAATTGCCCACCTGACAAAACAGGCGCTGAAAATGGCCAAGCTATGGTATACCAATAGCTAAGACATGGTAAATAGGTTAATCATTGTTAATCAGGATTTGAAAGGATCTGTTTGACTTCGACGTCGAATTAATATGGATCCAATATTCGAACATGATCTAACCAGCCTGAAAGAATGAAGAGATCTGGTTCAATGCTTGAGATTCTCATGTTTTACACGGTGTTGAAAGCAACAACATCCAAAGTAACCGGCATCAAATACGATCTGAAAAAGGCATGAAAAAGGCATGATTCACCTATGGCATCCTATGGCAAACCATCCGTTGGTCTAGATGCGACTATGTGACTTGCAGCCAGGTGACCCAAATAATCCCCTGGCGCTTCCAGCTTCGAGGTCGCCTGACCGGCAAGTCTCGGTGAAACCAATTGGCCCTCGATGACCAAAACCAGGCTGTGACGCTGTGACCCAGTGGCCTTCTCCAGGAAAGCATCCAGTAGATCACCATTGATCTCGGCATCACAGGTGGCTCATGATCCGACACTGCAACAACATTGCCAATCGTGGAAACATGTGGAAAAATGTGGAAAAATCCTTCTGGTTGGTACAAGCATGTGCACATTTTTTGTGCAACGAATTATTTTGGATCGGTTGACTCAGCATTTTTTTCAGCCAAATCAACGGGTGATCCGATGGATGGCAATGTGCTCCCATCATCATTCAGTACTTGGATCGATATCTTACTCCAAGTAGGCATCTCTAACTGCCGCAATATTTCCCAGTGACAGCAACACCACTGGGTGCGTGTTCAAACCCCAAAGATAGGATTTGAATCGTTACTTTCTATTCATTTCAAGTGAATTTGCCAAAGATATGGATAGAATACAATAAAAACTGGTAACATGTCACACTTCAGTTTCTATTCTTTACCAGTGCGACCTCAAGATGTTTCACATATTCCCAATGATGGGTCAAGATATGTCAAGAGATCAAGTCGTTTTTTTCAGTGGATATCTGTAGATGGTTGCGAAATTCTGCTCCAGTGGGTGGAAGAACCCCCCTTATAATATCTTACAATCCCATTATGGTCCTGGTGTTTGATAGGAATTCCAAGTTGGCAACCCTGCCCGCCGACCAGGATTTCACACCCATCCCGACCGTCGTATGACTAGGTCTTCCCAGCCGCCGAGGGCGCTTTGCGCGCCGCATCCAACCACCAGGCTTCAGCGTCTGCAGCTTCCGCAGCTGCCGCCTGCAGCGGAAATGTTTACAACAAATTCATAGCACTTGCACATCAAACACCATTAACCCATCATGAGACCAGAGTCATTCCGTAAAAATCATGTTAAATCAGGTTAAATCATAAGTTGGAAATCGTCCCAAAGAAACTTGGCTCACCATCTCCCGCGTTTCATCCGTGCCTTGGAGGTTTCTTTCTTGGGCTCAACTGCTGGCTCGACAGGCACTACCTGGCACTGGCTTATAGGGTGAAGTTCCAACTGGCGTGCCTGAAGCTTTTCCATTGCCAGCTTCAATTACCGGGATCCAAAGGGTAAAACAACAACCCCCCAGCCATCCCTACCCATCCCCACCCTTGCCTCAGCTTTCTCGACCTCCGCAGCTTTCCTGAAGGTGAGGGGGATGAACATTCAGTAACCGACTTTGGGAATTCACTGCACGAAGACTCTTTTTATATGTTCCCCTAATGTATATATATATATATATATATATTATAGTAGTATATTGTATACCATATTGGGGCACAACCTCGCCGGATACCCGATGTGCTGTTGTCAAGGTATTCAATTATTATCAATCCGTATCAATCCTGCAGATGTACGTATATATGTATATCATCAGATATAATATAATCATATACTGTATCTAACTCATTCTCTATTGGCTGCTTCAGGTTGAATTCTCATGTGTTCTTGCCTTATCCGTATCCCAATTGGCCCCATGGCTTTTGGAAACGCCCACGTCGTTCAAAAAATGCAGCTTGGGGGACGGAGCAATCTCCAGCTCAACCATTGGGAGCCCAACCGGCAAAGACCGCAGCAGCTCCTTTCCCTTCAGATTGATACTCACCTGGGACGCCATGGGACGGCTCTTGCTGTGCCCAGAACCCCATAGCATCCATGGGATTTTTTGAGGTCCTTCTATGGTCGTGTTATGATTCTTATGTCCTTTTTCATGTCATTGAGCACGTCTTTTTTCCTCCTCCTCCTCTTATATATATATAACTATAGCGCTTCACAATTTTTGTTGAAGTGATAGAATCGGCCGTTTAGAATACCAAACCTGGATGAAAAACGTGGTACTTCACCTGGTTGATGTTTGGTCATTCGGTGGTGATCCTTTCCTCCCAGTATCCTGCGTCTAACATTGCTGAAGTCGCTGCAAACCCACCCATGTACAGTACAAAGTCGCTAGATTGATATGATATGCCTAATTTTGCGGCCAATACGCTAAACATGGATAAACATGGGTGTGAGTGAGAGAACTGTCAAGAGCTCTTCCCCTACCCAAAACTCATCGAAATAAAGCCCGGCAGCCAAAATACCCCTAGAAATCCTAGGTACACAAAACAGAAAACCTGAACATCATCGACCAGTTGCTTGACTTGGGAACTCACAAATTTGGGGTTTGCCATCTCACTTGTTGCAATGCTTGCATATGATTCCCCTTTCCGAGGCACAAACCTGCGCTGGATAAATTGATATAAATACATCTGGTCATTGATCTGTGGTATCATTGCTATAGAAACAACGAAGGAATTAATTCCCCCCTTGAAGCCGCTCAGACTCCATCACCGGTTGCCTTTTCAAAGCCACCTTTGATGTCCGAGTGGCCCAGCCCTTATTGGGCCCACTGCCAGAGATCAACTCGTAGTGAATGCGATCGCCCACTTTCTCCAGCTCCGTTACAACTGGGACGATGCTCCACGAAGGATGGCCGGATGGCCGGATGGCCCAAAAGTGGCATGGAATGCCAACCATTTACTGAGCACTTTGGGGAGTTTGGGATGCTTTTTTGGGGGGGTCATCTGGCCAGATTTCTGGCCTGTTCATCTACGATTTTGGAGGGTTGAGCTCGGGCCATCCAGAAAATAGGACAGATAGACCACCATTGTTGGATCTCTACTTGGCTTTGAATGGGAAAAATAGGGCATTGCATGGCATTGCTACATCCATGTGTTTATCATCATTATCCCCATGAACATAGCCATTTTAAGGGTATTTCGGTATCTCCCATTTTCAGGCAAAGCCACATCCACAGGCGCATTCTCGATATCATATGATATCATAATACTGATGCCAAGGCTTGACAGTCTGATGGTCCACAGTGCTCCTCATAGATACTATAGATCCTCCATGATGACCCTTGGATAGGTTTAAGGTTAAAAAATGTTTAAAAGATAAAATGGACAGGAACCCCCCATCTTGGCCAGAAAAAAATATAACCCTCCCATCTTTGCCAAAGAAACATCTAAACCCATATTTTCCCCTGGTTTCCTGCAGATTTTCCTGAACAAAATCTATGGCCAAGCAGCTGGAGCCCGTAGCCAAACGATCCAACCTCGGTGCTTTGGATGTTTCTCACACCATTGGGGGGCCCCAGTGTATCATCCAAAATCCATTGGATGTTCCATGGATTTTCCCAGTGAAACATTGGACTTTTATGGACTTTCTATGTTTTTAGGTGCATACCCCTTTTTTTTAAAGAACATCCAGCGTTTCCCAGCATAAAATGTGAGATGAAAGCCAGTCACAACCCCCCAAAGAGGTGATCTTAAGAGCCTGGCCACACATGAAACTTTGGGCTATGGCCCCATGTTTGGACAAACCCATGTTCTTTGTTTGAAGACGGGTGCAAAACATGCAGCAAGGCAGGGACAGGTGCAGCTTTCAATTGTCGGATCCTGAAAGAATGTGTGAATCAGACGAGCTTCCAGAAAGGAGGCGCCATCCTCTAAACTTCCAAAATCAAAGTGCAAGCACTAGTAATTGCAATTGCAGTAGTCCCGCCTTTTCATCCCTCTTCGCTTTTCACTGTAATGACTGGCTGAGGCAGACCCAGACTCTCTACACACTTTCACCAGGATGGGTTTATCTATTGACTACCTACCTATAGGTAGATAGATAGATGGATTAATTCGAAATAATTAATCTGGATTAGACTAGATTAGATTAGATTAGATTGGATTATATAGATTAGATTAGATGATACAACCACTTTTGTGGGATTACATTGTTGAACAATTCTTCTGCCCGTGGTTCTCAACATTTCAACCATTTAACATCAATTTAACCAATCATATCACCACATCAGTTTATATTCCATGATTCTCAAACCTCATCTAAGAAAAATTCCTTTCCCAGTTCATACTAAACACCCACACGAAACCTTGGTGGATGTAGGGAAACCATATATTTGGAACCGTTAACCATGGTGTTGCAATCACATTTTACAGGGGGATGGGATGAACTTCACCACATTTTCACCACCTCCCAGTGGTCCCACCACATTTCACGTGCGGCGAAAGGCTGGTTGGAGTTGGTGCTCTGTCCATCTCGAACCACGAGGCCGCCCTTCTCTCCTCCGCCAATGACCTCCCAACGACCTCAATGGAATGATTGAAAAACCAAAGAGGCGATGCAGGCGATGGGCCAAAGAATGACACTTAGCTCTTTTTTTATAAAAGGAACCTTCATGGGATTTTCTATGATTCTCTAGTGATAGTGGAGATTAAGTGTCATTCTATCTAAGATTTTCTATGATTTTCTTAGCAACAGTTAGGCTGCCACCCTCCTGTAGTCAAATATTCTAATGGACAATTCCCCGTTTAGCTCAATATACCAATAATATAGAATTCTGGAATCTCTCAACTTTTAACCAGTAAAATAGTCAACCACCAAAAAGATCGAATTGAAGTGCTATGGCAAGTCCTCTTTTCAACGACTATATTCCCTATATTCCGCCGACAACGTCGCTTCTAGTTTGGAAAGTATTGTAGGATAGAAATCGGGAAAATCAAATCTTGAAATAGTGGCAAATCATGATTTATGACAATAGTGATTTATATTGACTTATCAATCATAAATGTATCACTATCATTGCATATATTATTTTGAAATTGTCTTTTCTGGGGTCACTATCAATCATGACAATATATCACAATATTCAAAATTGCCCAAAATGCTGGATTCAAAAAAAAGAAGCAATTGGGTCAATGAACAAAATTGGGTCCCACACACTGTTTTTTTTATGTTAAAGTACTCTCTCTCTCTCTCAATTAGATTCATGATTGTGGCAACACTTTCAGCATCTATATACTCTAGTTTGGATAATTTACTCATGGTCCTCTAGAAAATCTGATCATCCCCCAGAAACTGCGAGCCCCACATGCGGATGCCATGGTTGAGTTTCATGACGCGTGGCGCGTGACGCGTTTGGGACTGGCCTAATTGCAAATTTGCTGGTATAGTGACATATAATAGTGACATCCAATTGGGTGAAGGCCAACCAACAAGGAGATAGGGGGGCAATTGCTAATTTCAGAAGTACTTCGCATGGAATTCGCAGGTCATTGAACTACTTGAACTTATCCCTGTTCACCACAACCCTCGTCGCGTGATCTTATGGAGCCGGCATGGCTGCAGGGGGGCTCACCAAAGTTGCCATGGGACCGTTCTTGACCCACAAAGTTGGTTCTTTTACCATCTCAAACCATCCGTTTTGGAATGGCAAGACACTTTACATCACTTTACTATATTTTTATTCATACTCATCCAAACCTCCTGCAAAGCACACTCTTGAATCCGTGCCCCATGAAGCAAACCTGCACCATCAGCTGCGAGAAGCGCCGACCCCCTTAGCAGCATGCGGGGGTGCGAAAATGGTATGACTGGCTGGAGAGAAGTGTTCCGGCCTCGGCATTTCTTCTCCCTATTCCCTTCCATCATTCAATCAAACCCTTCCTGTTTGGCGTAACTTGCATTGAGTGATGTTTTGATCATTTTTGATCTATGATGCATGATCCTCTTGTGACAACGCAAGTAGCAAGTCAAGAGGCTCCGAGTTTGATTCTATAGTTCACCATCGCATCTTCGAATCCGGGTGGCTGTCCAACAGCTTGTTCCCTTGAGGCCAATTGAGGCCATGCCCGTCTGGGAATATCCACCTTGTGTCTATTTCACCTAGTTGGAATGGAGCATCATTGAGGACGCCTTGGATAGTGGCCACTTCTCGGAACACGCCCAGTCGCCATGCGGCCTGAAATCCTCCACTCACTAGTCCCCTATGGCGCCTGGAATCCCATTCTTCCAATGCCCCACGTCAGGTGCACAACCTTCCAACTCTGGGTTCTCCTGCGGAAAATGCCCCAAGAAGATGAAACATGGCGACAATTCCCTGGAAAATTCCCTGGAATTGACATTGCCATGCTTCATTAGCAGAAGTTTGCCATCATGGTCAGCCCATCCCGAAACGCCCGGTTACTAGCAGTTGGGAGTTGGCTTTATCCCCAGGGGATTGAACGGCAAATCATGGGAAAATCTTCATTGGACACGCCTGGACACCATCATGGTTACCATATGTTACCACATGTTACCATATGCTACCATGGTTTCTAGAAACTCTACCTGGGCCCCGAACTTCCTCGGATTTAGAACCCAGATGAACCCGGTACGATCCTCCCATGAGACCCATGGTCCTGAAGTCCAAGAATGATATCTGGCCGCTTGGTGAGGTCCATGACCTCGAGGTCAGAGGCTTCGGGGCTACATTTTGGAGCTTTCCTGGTTGCAAAAACAATGGACAATCAGGAGTGGTCGAGATTTTTTCCAAAGTGTCACGTCGTGTTTTTTTTGAATTTGATTTGTAGGCCAAATGGGGATTTAATGGGATTTAATGTTGATTTATCGAGATTTATTGATATTCTTCTTTTCGAACGCGGTTCGTCCTTTTTTTTGCCGTTTTGAAGGGATGAATCTAATATTCCAACATCTTCCAATCAGCGTTCCTGAGCCGCCAGCAGCTTTTGGAACTTTTCCACTGAAGCGATTGCCTTGAAGCCTCAAAGTGTCAAAACAGCATAGCATGGGCAGCACTAGGATGGAGTATGGGAATGTATGAGATATAACTCGGATATACATGAGATAGTCATCGGCTATGAATGACTTTTTGGTATAGATGGTTGGATGTTGAATGTATTGACTTTTCTACTTCTATCTTGGGCCCCTCGTTCTATGCCTGCCAGGGGGTCTTTGCAGGAATGCATCCAGTCCAAATCCAACGTTGAGTTTATCACCTCGTTTTACCGTTCTTCATTGCGGCCATCAACACCTACACCATGTGGATCCAGTCGATCCCCAGCCATTGACATAAGAAACTGCCAGAAATGCGAGCTGAAGGGAAACATCCCCCAAAGACCAACATGGAGCGTTTTCAGAAGTGTTTGAGTCTGAGTGCCCTTCTGTCACTGCGACATTCAACATATCATACATCTCTCTCTCTCTCTATGTATATATATATATATCTTCCCCATACCTCTCCGTATTATTTCTGAGGTCATAGATCTTGGCTCTTCCCCCCCTGTCCAGCTGCATCCCCAAGCAACTGAAGCTTCACAAAAGGCAGCTGACCCAGTGCTTCTGGGATTGGTCCTTTACGCGTGTCAAGGATGAAGGTCAAACCACTTGTGCCCCTTGGTATCCAAACTTGAATGATCTTGAATGGTTTAGCAAAACACAGTTTTTCAGTTTTTTCCCCTTTCTTGGCTTGACAATGATCCACATCTATTTTTCTGGCCCGTAACTGTGTACCTGCTTCGAATTTCAAAGTTCGACACCATACACCCCACATAAACCCAAATCAATTAAATCAACAGTCTACCAGTCTCTTCTCATGGATTCGAAAAGCGCAGCAGCACCTTCCATGCTGTTATCGTAGAGGTCCAAAGATTCCAACTTTGGCCAGGCTTCCTTGATGTTTGCCTTGATCGATTCGACGATTTGATTTTAATCCCAGGCTGTGGGAAACCATAGCTGTTTCCAAAAAAGGGAACCATGGTGACCTGGTGATAAACCAGGCTTTTGAATGGCAAATTGCGAGTTGATGATGTTTATGGGTGTAGAAAAAGGGAACATCTTCACCAGAAACCAGGGGGGTCCTGCAAACTTTCCTTTAAACCAAGTCTTGGATTTCTGGAAATATGTGTCAACTATGTTTATTCGTTTTGACACCCCATTAATTCCACAGAATTCTCTCTGCCTTACCCTCTAGTGACGTTCATTCGAAGATCTTAAAGCTGAGCAGCAGGAATGGTTCCAGTCAGGAAATTCCCATCCAGCCAGACCTTTCGAATGTTGCTCCAGCCAAGCTTCACGAACTCCTGCAGAAAGGGCGCAGGAAAGGCCCCCCAGGGCCCCCAGTTGTCTACCTTAAAGTGGAAATACAGTAAACAAGAACAAAAGGCTATGAATAAGCATAAATTATCACACAACACTGTAAAAATGGTTCCTCACAGGGCACCAAGTCTCCAAAATAAACGGTATCATGTTCTAATTAATGCAATATACATATACGTGTACATATGCATATACACATACACATACACACACATACACACACACATATATATATATATATTACATATCGACCCAACCCAAAAATATCCTTATCAACTATGAGCATTTCAGATTATGGCTGACAAATCTCCATTTCAGCCTGGAACCAAATCTCCTTGGAACCATCATTGCGTGGGAGTTCAGCTGAATGGCTCCTCGAAGGCAAAACTGTAGGATGCAGCTGGGCAAATAAAGCTCGGTCCTGGCGCTTGTTGAGCCACTCTCCCTGAACAACATCAGATTGTATCATATAGTCAACGGGGATCATGATCTCATGTGGTGTATGGAAAATGATATAAGGACACAATGAAAAAACACATTCAAAATGAAATAGGACCCTTGGAGGAGCATCCCAAGTGCTAGGGACTTATCCCAAGTTTCCAGCGACCAAAGCTGCTCCTTCTTGGAAATCGCTCCATTCACCGGTGCTGTCTCTCATCGCCTCCTGCAGCATCCCGAACTGAGAAATACCGCAGGAAAAAACGTGGTTTCTTGATCTCTTCGTCGTAGACAAACATTGAAATCTTGCAGCATTTGATTGGTATATGTGTGTACGCATATAGAAGCAAACATGGTCACAGGGGTTCCCACCTTTGGGTCGGGGCTGGAGTAGGAACTCGGGTGGGGTTGGGATTGGAGGTGCATCAGCAAAACATCTGCGGTTATGGACAGATTTTGGATGTATTGTTCGTGATCACCAGGCATCCCGAATACAGGCGGTTTTTGCCGCCCAATTCTAGCACGGCTGGATGGCCCAAAGGGGAATCACCATAAAAGTGGCCCAATGCCTGCAGTACCCAATCAGTCATGGAATTTCAATGAATTTCATGCAACAAATTGACATCTTCGGCGGGTCGTCCTCAACATCATTACTCTTGGTGCCGTGAAGCGTTTCCCAGGAGACTTTGCAGTTGCTGCTGTTCACATGCTGCAGCGCACAAGGTATCATCTCCTACCGAGTTCAACCGCCAGTAGGGTGCCATCTTCAAGCTTGGGAGGCTTGACAAAATGCCAATTAAAAATACATGCACCAAATCCGGGAGTAAAGGAAGGAACCATTATGAAGTAATTAATTATATCAATAGTTCGCCTCCAGTGATCAAACGTGGCTTGCTGGAAAGTCCGACATAGTTCGTTGATTTTCCCAGCGAACCTCCGAACTAAGTTCGTGGATCTTCAAGTGCTATGTTTGAGGGTATCCGCAATCATGAAACAGCCCTGCCAATCATCCCCCCCACCGCTCTCCCATTGTCGAAAGGCCACGAAGGAAGTCAGTGAAGTCAAGCCGCGCAGAGCCGTCGGGGGCAAATGCATCATGCAAGTGGAACCTCATAGGAATTGGAGAGAATTGCGGATTGCTATGGTGAATCAATCATCTATCATCGCAGGAAATTGGTTACAGTAATAATAATCGATAATTATTGTGAACAATCCTGCATGGTAGTTCCCCCCCGACATATATTAAGTCATTGGGGAGGCAGAATGGTAAATCAACATGTTTCAAAACACCAAGAAAGTTGGTATGGTGCTATTACCTGCATCGGTTTTAAGGTGGGTTCTCTACCTCAAACAAGCTCCCAGGGAGGACATCTTTCAAGATGTTTAAGCCATCCAGACGCGGGACCATCATCATCATCATCGTCATCGTCATCATCATCACAACAAAACCACAAACAATATAGTAACAATAACAACAACACTAACAATCAGAATCAGCTTCGGAGCGTTCCATTTTTCATTCACATTGGCGTACATCGTCGAGCCCGTATCGCTCGACATGTTGCTGCGAGCCAAGATTGATGACTGCCAAACTGCTAACCTGCCAAACCCAAAGAATTTCCAAACAGTAAATCACACAACGTTTTTTTTTTAGAATGCACACACATGTAATCATGTATACAATCAGTTTTTTTTTTTAATATAAATATAAATATATATATATATATATACACAATACACACACAAACACACACATATATATATATATATATGTATATATTTACACAGTATATATACATAAAACATTTACATCGCAAATAGGAATCACCAGTGTTGGCGAACCAAGCTTGACCATGGAATTCGGGCCTAAGGCCTCAGGATGATCGTGTAGATGATCCAGAGGATGGCCCCATACCTGAGCTATGCTTGGCCGAAAGCGCATGGTTTTTGACGCGTGGCATACCCTAGGAAAAACATGGAAAAACATAAATAACTCCAACAATTATGGTTAATATACATGTTATACTGGTTAATACCCAAAACATATAGTATTGTCATATAGTTATAGTTCAAGCTCTAGTTATATATATTCTGGGTTCAAACAATGATTCATAATGTAAATTCATGAGTTGCACCTGAAAAGTTCTGCCAGCTACTCTTTCTCTATCCAGATAGATCTGACTGGGAGAAACTCCAGGATCCAACCCCTTTCGTCAAGAAACAAAAGCTGATTGGCGGCGTTGGTGGTTGATATGGCTTCAGCGACTGATTATAATCAGCCAAAAAAAGAAACGGAAAAGTGATTTGTCAATTTATCACTATTCTTTTGCAATTATAGTGCGATGATTTTATTGTTCTATCTTTTTTGGTATCACTTTAGTACCATCTAGTTCATTTCGGCTGGTTATGAAACGCTTGCCTCCATGAAAAAAAAACGACAAAAGCCGACCCTTTTCGTTCATCCCTTCAGCCATCAGTTTACCCGTGTACCCCCAACCAGGGGCATTGGGTGTATCACCCATATTACATGACCTACAATCTGAATTAATTAACGTCTGTCGTTCCATAATGCAATGTGGCAAAACAAAGCCATGAACTGAACCATCTTCAATGACTTACGAACAAAAGCTGGCATATTTCAACTTTAGTCATTCCCAATTGCAGGGTTAGGCATTGGTTTGCACGGGATTGTCTGAAAATCAAATGGTTACCTAAAAACATACTTGTCATATTTTCTTGATTTCCGCATTTAGAGTTGCCGCATGCTGCCGCTGTATGAGGGGAAATCCCCAAATTTCGTCATACAAGCATACCCATCTATACCCTCTGGCAATCAAACAAGGCACTGGAAACTTCCACATTTGTAGATTGTGTTTGCTTCAAACTGGACACAAACTTCAGAATATAAATTTACCATAAATATTCTAACCATTTCTAACCATATGTCAAAACTGGATAAGTGAACCTTTTGGCTGTTTAATCGGGGGGTACCTTCCTAGCAGCAGTTTAAATCACTGTTTGTGGGTGGGGCAATCCGGTCTCCTTATTCAACCATTGTGCGCGCATTTGAGCTCGACGTCATTACCAATCCAAACTTAGCAAAATACTGGGGGGTGGGCTAGCCCTAAAATTCAATTATGTGCCAAACTTTCCAGATAATTTTAAAAAGCAAACCCCAGCTTAATCATAAACTGAAAAACATCATTGAATCATATTCAACCCCTACATTTTCCTAACATATAAAAAATATATTACATCTATTAAGTAACAATTCATTTCATAACATGCTTTTTCTCTAACATCGACGTTTCACCCACTTTTCCCCACTTTTTTCGGTTTTCCCTCATGGGTTCCCCGATGTTCCCCATGACTCACCGGGACGCATGCACAGCAGCTCTCCTCAGAGTCCTCGCTTGTCGAGTCCGTGTCGCTGCTGTCGCGCTCCACGTTGCGATCGGTGAAGGTCCGGGTGGCTGTAAGGACGAGGCGCCGCACGTGGCCGTAGGGACCATAGCCTCGCCGGGATGGAGTCGGATGGGGATGACATGGAGGGAACAGGATAGAAACATGATGAAACATGCATAGAATCATAGAGGCATAGAGCACATCATAGAGCCAGAATCGTTTTGGGTAGTGTACATGCACCCGCAAAACACTTTTCTAGCCAGGTATCGGCAACTCAAGGTCCTGGAAGCAATGAAGCCACTGGTCACAGCGAGGAGCGCAAAGAAGGGGGGTGAAAACGTCTCAAAAATACCTGGCTGGATGGAAATTCGCTGGTCTGCATAAGAAAATCGACTTGGATACTTTCCAAAAAGATTCTTCTGGGTGAAGCTTTTCAAACGCCCCTCATCTTTCAGAAAAAACAATTCTTCAATCTCTGCTGGGTGGTTTCAATCTCCTTCAAAAAACATTCGCCAAACATGTAGTCTCATCTCACATTGCCCCCATTTACCCCTCAAATATTTAAGATCACCTTTTCCAGATATAGCCACAACAACATCAACTAAGCTGCAGGTGACCAGGGATGGATAGTGTGGAGGAGCACTGACCATCCGTTGGATGAATGACATCGAGGTGAATTCTTGCCAGCCCTGACCCAGCGCCACCAGGAAAGGCAGCACCACGGCAGCAATGGACGACAAATACCAGGTGCGAAGCGTGCCGCGGATCCAGTCCGGCCCATAACCGCCACATCGAAACCACAAGGGCACAGCAATGGCCGTTAGAAAGGAAGAGGCAACACCTGAGATTCGCTAGACCCTGAGAGCATGCAGAAATACCTTGTTTTTCTTGCTGTTTTTTTAAGATCAAACAGTAGGCTAAGAAAGAAACCATCACGTGAACAACATCAAATCAATTTGGCATTTTTGTTTGGGCAGCAAGTGGCTCACAATGCTCAAACGTTCCCACATGGGAGTTCGTGCAATTCCATGTAGATCAAAACGTGTGGCCGCATCAAGACCACAACCGCACCATAGTGAAGCGCCGATGGCAACCTGGGTTGCAAATGGTGAGGAATGGGGATCATCATCCCAGCTGTGGCTGCAGAATGTTAACAACATTTCTTTGACACAACCAAACAACAATAGAATAATGAAATGTATGTCCTATATATCATCTAATATGGATGCTGCACTCAGAGTTTGGATGGTTGCCAGCTAGTGGGTCATTACTAGATATGTTTGAAAATGCCATCACAGGATGTCACAAGCACTTAAAATACCGATCCACATCCACCACACAAATCGACAGTTGTTTCATTGCTGTAATCCTGGTACGGCCTTCGCCTGCTATCTGGGAGAAGAAAAGGGTTGTCATGGTTTGCCCACAGTTCTGAGGCAAAAAATACACACAACACAGTTGAACAGTGCCATGCGCCAAGTGGGAAATCCCTGACAATGGTTGGCGAAGGGGTTCGCATGAATCGCTAATCGGCAATGCATTGCACTATATACACCTACCAAATGCACGGTAACCATTTTACTTGTAATCATCCATCAACCATCATCTACACCTTAGAATTGTATCACCATTCATCCTTGATCCCTAAAAAACAAAACTCATGAACCGGGCCCTCAAACCTTGTTTCCCGCACCTTCCATTTGAGATTCAGAATGCCAGCTCCTCGTATATCTTCGCCCGCATCATAGGCCCGTCGCAAACTGGGGGTGTAGGCTCCGGCCAACATCAAGACCCGCACCTCCCGAATTTGTCTTTGATGAAAAAACGATGGCATTCCGACATACTCAAGGCATTATTTACATATCTGCCTACACGTTGGGTCATTGTTGGGGTGGATGATGTCAATTTCCATACATGGAGCACTACTCAACCATCAAAGAAATTTAAACCAGGAAAAAATATGATCAACCAGCAGAAGCTGAGGATTTAACGTGATTTAGTCATCAGACATGGGGATTTCAACTGGTGATGCCTTCTGATAACAGGCTTGGATTTGCTGATGGCATGAAACCCACAGTTGCATTCCCACGGTTACATTCCCAGCATCCACATTCCTGGTGGATTCACCAAAGTAAACCTCATCTCAACATGGGTTTTCATCATGTTTGTTTAAAAATTGACAATTTTCATCATTAAATTATTTAATTAAATTGTTGTTTCAGCATTTTCGGACACGTTGTTAAACTGGTAAGCACGCCCTCATTAGTTGTTTTTGGCGGTTCAAAAAGCCTTAAAAAAACATCAATGAAACACGGCTAGATCTTATTGTTGGTGGGGTCACCTTATGTCACCTTCAGGGCAACTTGGCTAATTAAATCTCCATGATCATTTCTTTTTTGAACAACAACAATGAAATATATGTAGCACCACCCTTAAAAAATGGTAATACCATGTAAAAACCCAATCCTGAAAGATTGGTAACGTATTTCTTCAATTTCTTCGTAAAGTGAATTGCAAAACCCTACTAAATCACTTACATGGTAAAATCCCCAATCCACTACTTTGCGTAAACTACAAAAAAACTAACATCACCAATCCTAATTAATTTTAGTAAGCGTCCATCGCAATCCCAAGTAATCAGCCAAATCGCGTTAAACCAGCTGTTTCGGGGCTTACTATAAATTAATATCTGTTAACAGCAACTCCATGGCACCGTGATGTCCACATCATCTTCGAAACCACCAATGGCCCGGCGGATACGCTCTTCATCGAACCTGTTGGTGCATTGGGCCTCCTGCACCTTTGCTACGGCTCGGCCACGACACAGCAACAAGTATGACCAACACCACTAGTGATCGAAGGAAGTTTAAAAGTCAAACTTCCGACAATATGGACAGATTAAAAGCAGAGATGGGAAGAGTCAGAGAAGAGAAGAAGAAAGAAGATCAAAAAAGAGAAAGCCTCAGAAGAAAGAAGATCCAGGTGCGCGAAAAGGTAGGAAAGCCGCGAAACACGGTGTTTTTCCAATGATTTGTGGCTCCGGACGGTCGAAAAGTAGGCTCGCTAAAGCGGCGGGTGCGGAGTTAGCTGGCCAGATGAGAGATGAAAAATTGCACGCCGTTGTGGCGCGAAGCACGTTTCCAAGTCAAAATGTACAAAGCACACCATGTTCGGACCACGTTCGGAAGCTGTGATGTCGAAAAAGTGCACGCCGTTGTGGCGCGAAGCACGGTTCCCAGTCAAAATGTACAAAGCACACCAGGTTCGGACCACTTTTGGAAGTTGAGATGATGAAACAGTGCGCGCCGTTGTGGTGCGAAGCACGTTTCCAAGTCAAAATGTACAAAGCACACCATGTTCGGACCACTTTTAGAAGCTGTGATGTCGAAAAAGTGCACGCCGTTGTGGTGCGAAGCACATTTCGAAGTCAAAAGTGTTCATCAGAGCTGTTCGGAGGTCAGGGGGCTGATTTCCTGAGAGGGGTTGCGTTTTGGAGCATCAGATCTTCAGTTTTGGGAAGATGATTTTGCGTGACAGGTGCAGCACTTCGTATGACCTGGCCTCACTTTTTCGTGGCAGGCGCAATACTTTAGACAGGTGGAGTGGAAAAATCGCAAAACGCATTGGTACGAGGCCGTCAGCTCTGCACTCAACTTTCCATTTTTGAAGGATGTCTCGCAGAATTGCTTCTCGCGGGCACAACAGGCTCGTCGCTTTTTGTGTGGCAGGCACCCACAGAACATCGGACACTTCTTCATCCGCGTGCAACGTTGGCACAGGTGTGGGTCGCAATGCGAGGATATGCGAGGCGCCGCAAACAGCTATGCTGAGATCATTTTGCGTGGCATGTGCGCCGTGCTTCGGTCGCCTCAGCTTCAATCGCTGGCAGGCGCAATCTCTGAATACTTTGTGCAAAAGGTGCTGCAAATCGTATTGGAACTGTGACGTTCACTGTTGCTTCGCGTTGCTGGTTTTGAAACCGCCTGCGCGACCTTCTCGTCACTTTGTGTTGTATCACTCTCGTTGTGGCGCGCTGCAAATTATGATATCGCTCGCGCAACCCTCTTGTCACTTTGTGCGTGTTGGATCGCTCTCGCTGTGGCGTGGTCCTGCGCTGATCTTTGCTGACTCTCAGAGGTCCTTCTGCGAAGATCTTGCGTAGGAGTTTAGAGAGGCGCTGGTATTAAGACCTGGCCAAGATCTCGTACAGGTCCTGGGGTGCTTGTGTGCCAGCTCTTGGGATGCTCTTAAAGACGTTCCAACGTAAAGATCTTCATTAATCCTCTGACGGCCCAATGAGATTCTCTTGGAGGCCCTTCTGCGAAGATATTGGCCAAGATCTTGGAGAGGCGCTTGCGAGAAGATCTCGTGTAGAGATCAAACTCTCTGAAATGTTCTTCCATGAATATAATATATTGAAGATATCGTGTTAGAGGTGCTTGTATGTGAATTTTGGTGGGGTGTTCTTGTGTCAAGATCTTCTAAGATGCCCTGCATGAGCCTTTGTCAGCAAATGTTCTCCTTGACACTGTTTGGGGTCTCCTGCCCGGAAATTTTTGCCATTGACAATCGTATACAATCGTTATTTGAAATATTGCTGATATTCTCAGCCAGCATACCTGGAATGATTGGTGCCGTCCAGTAGACACATGGCAAGTTTTGGAGATCCGATCTATGGTTGTTTCCCTTGGAAATATTGGGTGTATTTTCTCTGGAGGGCATGGCTGGGCCATTATGTCAGCAGGCCGTGCCACATATGTAGAGAAACCAGGTTAATTTGGAGTGGTGCAAGTGGGTGGCAATCAACATCGCAACCCCAAATAGCTGGTAAATGTACGTTCATGCACCCCCCAAACATGGTAGTACAAGATAGGTCCGGATAAATTTCTCGATCCATCCTCCTATGCATGGGGGCCAACATTGGAAACATCCCGAAAATAAACATTACAAAACTGACATCCTCTGATGGGATTCAAATTTTGGCATCTTTTGAACCAAGGCACAGTCTGACAGGACAAATTTTGGGCTTGCTCTGCCAGCTGCTTGAACTCCAACACTTGCATATCCAAGTGCGCGAGACACATCCTGGGCAAGGCATGCTTCCCGATCTTGAGCTAAAGAATGTTACCCCAGCCAAAATACCCTCTACTACTTAGATTTGTTGATTTTGGGGCGTGAAAAAAGCCAGTAGACTCCCCAATACTTAGTGGATTGACAGGACGCAAATCCAGGATGATAAGTGTAACGGGGTGCCACATGCAAGCATAGCAACCCTCCCCATGCAGAAAATACGACACATTGGGCTCAACCATGGTACAAAGATTGGAAAAACTGTGCTGCGGAAATTGCAACCCAGCATCATATTGAGCATGAGGAGCGCACAGGGGATGAAGTAGTGCAAGAAGGCTGCTGATCCTGTCGACGGTTTTCATGCTGCTCGACTAGTTTGGGTCCTTTGAAACTGGTTCATATTGTAACACTGCCACAAATTGAATGTATGCCATGGTGCCTTCACACAAACTGTGTGCATGTTTCATACGAATTTCCAAAAATGCGTCCGTGTACAAAAAATATGCGTGAGCGTGCATGCAGTTTCACTTCATTTGTGTTTTCCCCTCTCCTTCTCTTATAACCCCCCGCTCTTTTCTACATGTTGATGCCATACTTCTACATCCCCAGCTAGATTCAGTTACATTGAAATTGAAAATCTAAATGCATCAAGCATTCCTCGGTGCAACTAACAAGCACAGGCCGCTGAACTGCTGAGGTGCCTGATTCATAATCGTATGGCACTTCCCACCAGGGAAAGGACACAGATGTTGCTAAGAACATGCCCACCGCGTGCAAACACTTGGCGCAGGCCATGCATTTCTCCATCTGCGGGGGCACCATGGCCCATAAAGCTGCTATTAGCGAGATGGCTAGGCAGCTGAAGGTGACCTGAAACTGTTGACCCGCGGGCTGTTTACTTTGGGAGCCAAGTTGTTCATTTTTTCAATTTATCATTTCTTGGGGCGGAATTCTTTGATTTGATTACCTTTTTCGGTTGACCATGCAGGATTGATTGGCACCAGAATATGTGATGGCCTTCAAAACACTGGGCGGGCCATACTTGGGGTACATCGCGTAGCGCCAGAGCAAGCTGGTCAGCAGTCCAAGGAGGAAAGGAATCAATAAGACTTTGGCGCATGAATAGCCTTGCCGCCGGGCATGAGGTGTTGCAGGCATCAGGCAGACCTTTTCCATCGTGGTGCCCAAATATGCCTCGTACACACACCAAAGCCTACCTTGGATTTGATCAGAGTGATCACCAGTGTGTGGTCTTGCTCAGTAATCCATTCAAAAACAACAAAAAGCGGAAGAATTCCAAATCGTGGATTAACTTGCATGGGGTAAAAAAAAACCATCATCTCAGCAAATCCAGGCTGCTGTAGATGGAAATTTTCGAGTTGGGAATCACCAGAATGTGCGAAGCTCGCTGCAAGGCTTGAGCAAAGGGGTTCATCAAGGGATCGACCTCAAAACAGGGCATGGTGTTTACGGCTGAAGCCGCCAGATGGGAACGACTGGTTGGTGGTTGACAGACACCCTTTAAAATATACTCATCATTGAAAATCATCATCCCATTTCGAACATTTCGAATTGTTCGATCGCTGGGAAAAAAACTGAAACCACCTCCAGCCAGTTAAGGTCAAAAGTCAAGATCGAAGATACTATCGTGGCATTCACGTCACGCCTAACTAACATTACCTAACTGAGGTTGATGGGTCAATCATGGCAAATCGATGCAACAACCCCGCACAAAAAACAAGAGACGTTCAGGAAAACCTCCAGGTCCAAGTTCTGCGGGTTGGCCAATAAACCTCACATTGAAAAAGCCACATTGGGTAAGGCCAAACCACCGTTTGGCATTTTCCAATTTTTTACACTTGGCAATTCGAAATCCAAAAGGATGCATTTTACAAGGTTGTTCTTTTTTGGTAAAATGTGAGGTGAACCTCCATTTACCTGGTAGGCCGCCCCCATCTCTTCTGTTCAAAACACCGGTCGCTTTGGGTGAATGCTTGGTTGAACCAGTTGTCCTTGTCCGAAACCATGTTTCCAGTTTGGGAAAGAACAGTTGCCTTAATCAGACCAAAACGGGTGCAATGGGGATGCAGCCAGCTACATTCGTCATGTCATTCGCTTGTCCAAAAAAAAACAGCGCCCGGGGGGTTGGGGGGATTTTCGACACATTTTTTTTGGCAGCCGGGGATCCACGCGAAAATAAACGGCAAAAGTGAACACAACAGAGCCAGCATATTGTTCTAAGATCCAATCTGTTTGCATGCTCTTGAAAACATGTCGATTCATGATTCTGTTTTCTTCGAAAGCCAATCATCAATCCTACATCAAAACCTTTCACAAAAATGCGTCCCACAAACACGGGCGCACTGCAAAGATTTCAAGGCCCAGGAGCAGCAATAGAGATTTGTGAGCCCGTGGCCCGCAGGCCAGGCTGATCTCACACCATTGCCGAACTCAAAGATCCCTTCCTCAGCCCGGGTGGCTATGGATGGTACCCCACAATGAACTAAATTCGTTTAGTTAGTTATCTGAACGAATATAGGTTTACGCATGCAGAACCAACATATACCTGGCGTCATCACATTGTCGGCCATGGATCACAACTATATGATATTAGACAAATAACGTACCTGTTTGCAGGGGATGCCAGTGGGGCTGGCAGGCCTGCAATTTTTTGAAAAACACCAAATTTGAACAAAGTTGCGAGATGTTGCTCAATAGTCACCTAGTGTGTGTCATTAGGCTAGCGGCTAGCAGGTAATATGATACAGATCCCAAGTTACGCAAGCCAACTTATAGGCGGGGGGAATCACATTGCTGGCTATGGACGAGGAGCAAGTGTGAGAATTAGCATGAGCTTGCGCCAGTTTGCACATGTTTCCACTTTATCAAGCCTTTCATCACGCAGTGTGTCCACCTCTTCCTGCTTACCTTGCCACTGCATCAGCTGGGCATGGCGAGACCTTCCAAATTGATATGAGAATGAAGTTATGGGAAAATCTACCGCATCCATCCGCATCCAGGAGCATGCGATTCTGGTCGCCTTCACTTTTTGTTTGCGGCTTGTAGCTCCAATACTTGGTGCTCATTCGGGGGGCTTCCGCCTTTTCTGCTTGTTCTTCACTTCTGCCATTCCAACATAAACTGGGGGCAGCGGATTCGGCGTGGAGATCTGCTAGGCAGGGGTGATGAGATTGCCATCGCGTTTCCAAGACCCCCCAAAGAGATTCCAGGCCATACGCTGCCAAGAAGTGCACCTGTGGCCTGCTGCTTCCATATTTTCCATGTCCCCTCTGCATGCGACATTTTGTTCGCGCAAGCGAAACAAGATGCTTCTTCAAGGTCACGTGCAGTTCCTGCTTAGTTGCTTCCCGCTTCTCCTTTTTTCCTTTTCGCTGGTACATGCTGGTAATGGTGGGGGGTAATTTCGCTTTGGTTTTCGAAAGCTTGCCAACGGTGCGAAAAAGCTAGCGGAGGAAAGCGGAGTTTCATCATGACTAAGCAAGTTTGCGGTCCAATACCAAAAGCAATACCGGGTTTGACAGCAAATCCATGACGTTTCTTGCAGAACTCCTAGCAGTGACCCAATGGCTAGGTGAAACCAGCTTACGTGTCGTGCTACTGTGTTCCACAGTGTCTGCGCTAGATTCTGCTAGCCTTGGAACCTTCAAGTAACGCTAACATGCGTTCGAAGTTTTAGTTTGGCCTGTAGCCTATAGCGCCACAATATGCAACGAGATTATAAACCATTGTGTGGGTCGGACAAGTGTCTATCCTTATATATCCTTATTATGTGCTCGGTCCTGCGCCATGCCAGCCCTGTCATTCCAGTCGCCCGATCTGCATATTTCTTCTCCAGGCGATTTTTCACCTCATATCATCCAGGTGTTCGTGATTATTTTATTTTTCTGCTGCTTTTGGGGAGCAGAAACCGAGAAGACGATAATTAGATGTGTCTTTTTCATATAAGGTAACGACGAATAATATATTGGTCCGTTCACAAACTTGCCGGCCGTGGTCCATGCCTCCTCTATTTCGGGCTCAATAGTGCGCCTACCCTTTGTACAGCTCCCAGTTGTTCCAGCGAAACGGAAAAGAGAATAATGAATAATATGTCTACCTATTTGAATACAACATCCTCCTCTCTGTTCATGCTATTCTATCTTCAGGGATGCAGCAGAGTAGGACCCCTGCATCGTCTTGGGCGTCGCAGAAAGTTTGTCATGTATCCGGGTCAGCTCCTTCTATTTGCAGAGTTCCATTATCCCCAACACGAGTCTTAAAATAGAACGCTCTTACATTCCAAGGTCAGACCCCCAACTCAGCGTGATTTCCAGGCTAACTTTGCTTTCAGGCCCTGTCCGGCCTTCATGCGTGGCCGCTCCCTTGCTTAGGACTCTAGCGTGCCGTTTAGCCACACATGGTCTTGGACTGGAAAGTTTCTCTATCGCTGGTCAGGCTATTAGGGGAAGTTTGGTAAGTCTCCCGGTATAGATTATGCAGAGCTCGCTGGAGCCACGCCCTGTTTCTGACCACCGCCAGCGCCCCCTCTGCAACATATTATGTAAAGATACTATCCTAACCGCGCAATGACATGATGAACATTCCATGACATCCAGCTTCATGATGCAGCATGCACCTGAAGGCTGACATTAAATGGGCAACGAAAAATGCATAGTTTGATTCTTGGCAGGTTCCAGGAAAATCTCTCAACGGGACGGGGCATCAAACATATCAGCCAGCAGCGCCAAGCTTCAGCCCAGGCATGTGAGATAAACACCTGGCATGGAAGACCTTCAGGATGTAACCACAAGGCATAGCTCATCCCTCCAGCTGCCAACGTCTTCGGCTTTACAAAATACCTGGGACATCCCCAATCAGATCAGTGTTGAAATGTTGGTTAATTAATGCTTTCAACATTTTTAGCATCCAAAGCAATCTAAAAGGCGTAAAAGAAGCTTCAATATCTGACACCACCTTCCAGGTAGTCAAGCCGGAAAAACATCCAAAATCAAAGGGGAAATTACCTTGCGCATATACTTTTACACCGTGAAAGCGTCTACCCCGTGCTTTTGCACTGCCGAAATACTCATTGACCTGGTAGAGGTTTGGCCCGTGACAGCTGCACTCATGTAACGGATCTGGACTGCTTTCCTCAGATTGGAAAAGGGTGCGATGCGGCTCAGGAGCTGAACTCATCTTAAAGCAAACAAACCGAAAAAATACCGCATGATACCGCATGGTTTTGCCCAAGCATGGTGCACCCTCACAACTTATATCATGGGTTATGATTTTCCCCGTCAAAAGATTTCATCCAGGGTCGAGAAAAAAACAAACATTTCTCTGGGATATGCTTGGGCCAATACGAGCCAAATCATTCCTTTTGGCCCTAAATGGCCCTAACAAGAGCATGCCAAAAGTGTCCCTCTGCAAGATCTGGCCCGCAAGCCAGGCTGTACGCACGTCTTCCACAAAGTGGAAGAATTCGTTAAAGGTCACGCACCAACGGTCTGCCGGAACCCGAAGATGAAGCTCCATGGCTCAGCCGGCTGCGATGGCATATCTCCACATTGAAAATGGTGGCTTCATCACAAGTGATGCCGTCAAAGTGCCACAGTTCTGGCGGCTGAATTTTCATGCGTTGTCATTGTTGTGGAGATGGTAGAGGTAATCCAATCTTTGCACAAGTCTTTTTTCCTATGCATGACCTGTTGAAGCTCCATTTGTACCCTCCCGTGAAATCCAGCTGCGCAAAAGTAGTCACGGCGGATCATCATTCCAAGCACGTTTGAAAATACAACAAGGATCAACAAGGTAACTAAGTTTCTGACCACCAGCGGGTCTAGTGGCAGCAAACCAAATCTTGCACCCATAGCAGCTGACGCATTTTCAGCCCCTACGGCTCGACGTGTTGCTGCCGGCCGGCCAAACCTGGTGGCAACTGACCCTCCTCCAAAGGACTTCGATAGATAAGCGTAGACGCGTTTGCGGGTTACTTTCATCGATGTTGGCCACACTGCGGGTTTTATGTCTCTTTCAATTTTGTTGGATCATCTTCTAATACTGGAGGACTTGGCAGATGCCAGCCTTGACCTGCTTGAATTCACCTACGTCATCGGGGCATCGTGATGATCTTGTAGATGCTTTCATCCACAAGACGCGTCGTTGCGCGCAACACACTCGTGACAATACCTGTCAAGATGTGGGCACTAGAGATGCGGAGGGAGAATCTTGTCATTTTGAAAATTAGCACTCCCTTAGAGATGATTCCGGAAACCCATTCCCCCAATCCTCCATTTGCAAATTCTGTTCTCCCGGTATGTATTTTCAATGTGCCACCAACTGTCACCATGAATGAATGCATGAATGAATGGACGAATGAATGAAGGAATGATAATGCATGCATGAACAAAAATTGATACAATGAGTGCATGAATCGCATGATCGAGTCGAAGGAATGGATGATAGGAAGCAGCGCGTGAACGCAAGAATTGCGCGCTAAAAAACACAAGTGACATGAAGAAATTTAAAAAAGGCACGTAATTAATTGGGGTAGTTCCTGTTGAAGGTCTATTTCGTTTTTAATGTTTTATTTTGGGGTGTATTTAGGGTTTGACTCGGGGTTTGTCAAACATTTCGCCCGGGTTGATTTAGGGTTGGGTCAATGTTTTGTTTCTGGTTGGCTTAAGGTTGGTGTAAGGCTTTATTTCAAATAGGTTTTAAATTTTATCACTGTTTGTTGAAGGTTTAGTTGTGGTTTTGGTATGACTTTGTAAGGTTGAATTTGGGTTTATTTAGGGTTGGGTGAAAGTTACTTGGCATTGGTGTCAGGTTCTATTTAAAGTTGGTTTATGTCTCTATTTATGGTTGGTTTACGGGTTTATTTAAACTTAAATTTTGTTGAGCACTTGTTCCAGCTTCGTTTCTTTTTTACACGGTAGGTTTGGGTTAACCGGTGATTGTTTTAAGGTGTTATGTTTTATTTTATTTTTTAATGGTTTAAAGTTTGATTTATGGTAACTTTCAAAATCCTGCCGCGTTGGTAAAAGATCTATTTACATAGGGATGATTTAAGGTTTGTTTTGGGTTGGATTGGGGTTACCTTTATGGTTGGTTTAGGGTTTGATTAAAGCAGGCTGAGGGTTATTTAAGGTTGGTTTAAGGGTGACCTAGTGGTGGTTTAAGGTTCTATTCAAAGTTGGTTTACTGTCCGGTTTGATGGTTGTAAGGTTTAGTTAGGGTTGGCCTCTGGTTTGGTTAGGGCTTGTCTAGGTTATTTGAGGTTATTTGAGGCTGGCGCATGGTTTTATTGAATGTTGGTTGGGTGTTTTTTATGAATTGTTTCGGGTTCAGGTAAGGCTGGTTTACGGATCAATGAAGGTTGGTTGGGGTTGATTTAAGTGGCTTAAAGAACTATTTAACATTGGTTCATGGTTCGGTTTAATTGTTTTACATGATTTTATATTAGATTAAACTATATTAAATTATATTGTATTAAAAATAACATATTATACTAAAATATATTATAAATGATATCTAATATTATAATATATTAAATATTATATATTATAATAGGGTTGGTTTAGGGTTTGGCTGGGGCTGGCTTAAGAAGGCTATTTCATGTTGGTTAAGGTTTGGAAGATCTTTTGGACTAGTTTCGGGTTTAGTTATAGTCGGTTTGAAGATTAAGGTTGGGTTAGGGTTGGTTTCGTGCTGGTTGAAAGGTTTTATGTAAAATTGGCTTGCGGTTCGTTTAATTCTTCATGGTTTTACGCTATAATTAGTGCTGGTTTAAACCTACTTGGGGTTGACTCTTGGCTTATTCAATATTTGTTTATGGTTTGTTATTTTTTTTTTGGGGTTGCTTGACGTTGGTAAAAGATTGTATTCAAAGTTGGTTGGTGGTTTGTTTAAGGTAAATTTATGTTTCTATTTGGGCTTGGTTAAAAGCTTTCTTTAGGGTTGGTTTAGAAATAATTTTAGGGTTTGTTTCATGGTTTGTGATTTTGGTAGGGTTCGATCTGGATTAGGGATGGTTTTGGCTTCCGTTTATGGTTGGTTTAGGGTTTCTGTTTAGGGTTGGGTTATGGTTTTTGTAGATAGTTTGCTTTTGGGTTTACCTACCGCATGTTCGGCGTTTTATTTAGCAGTGCAGAAGCTTGCTTGCTTGCTTACCTGCTTGGTTGCTGCCTTGCTGCCTTCATGGCTTGCTTGCTTGCTTTCTGTCTTGTTTGCCTGTATTCAGAATGGTTGCAACCCTGGCTGGGGGGAAAGCTCACCGGGAAGCGGTTGGTTGGTTGGTTGCCTGCCTGTCTGCCTGCCTGTCTGCTGAATAGTTACGGTTACAGCCTTGACTGGGGAATAAGATCACAGCAAGCAATGTAAAAATAATATGCAACTTAGTGGCATGAATAGCTGCAAGAAGCAACGAAATATTGCAACGGAAAAAGGAATTCGTGATCCATGGAGGAAGATGAGGATGGGAGCAAGGAATGAAGGACTTCGCCCGCCCGCAGTTGCAATCCCACATGCCAGCAGCATCGCTGCTCATCGATTCGGCCACGGGTGGACCGGCTAGCTAGTCTCGTTCCACACCCCTGACCGTGCGTTTGCCAATATCCAGCTGCAGCCCCTTATAGCAGGAACCTTGCACCATCACTACTACTTTCCTGCGCGCAATGCTGACAATGGGGTTAGCCAGCTCAATCCAGCTCAAGTTGCATGCCCACATGGCAGGAATGTTGCGGCAAATCAGCCACCGTGCGCGCAGCGGCGCATTGTGTATTGTGCGGACGTTTTTCGCGCCACTTCAATCATGCGGTGGTTTGCACATTTTTGAACAAAACTGAGCTCTCGCTACAGTCTCGTGCAATCTCATCGTCCAAAAGCCATCCAGCCATCATGTGGTGAAAAAAACATCTCGCTTTTTCCAGCATCTTTTCCCGAAATTCCTGTCATGCACTTCCACCCTTTCGACCGCAGACCTACGCGCTCCCAAACTCTCGCCGTGATCTTGCGCTTCCCGCTGCTTCCTGCGTGGCCTACATGGTGAGATGAAATCTCCCTACGCCCCGGAAGTTTGCCAACTAACCTTGCTCTCGTAAGACATACTTTAGTAGCGACATAATGAGATGTTGCACTTGCAAAGATGATGACTTGGACATTGAAAACGACAGTGAAAAAATGAGAGGCATGAGAAGCATGTCAAGCTACTTGGATGTGCATCTCCATTGGTAAGTGGGCAATAGTTAGCAAAATTTTCAAGAAGGATTTGAGCAGCAATAATTCAATTATTTGTACATGCATCCGTTCTTCCACTAAGAACATGTAGTGGAAACAAAGGATTGGCGCCCCGAACGCTTTAAGATATTGCGAACATCATTTTTACCTTGACTGGTCACTATAGTTATGGCCCACTACCAGTTACAAGCCAGTCATAAACCCATTTATTTATTGAATGATAACACCATTTATAACCATTTATAGGTGGCAAAGGGCTTCAACTGTATGGAAATTAACCAGCACATTGCTGAGCCAATCAAACAGTCTTCTTTTTGGCGTTTGTTCAGCTTCAATGACAAGCAGGGTGTATTAATTCGAGGTTGCCATCATTACTTTGCAAAACTCAAGCGTGTGCCATACTTTCCATATAACTTCAAAAAGCGAACTCCGGATTTTAAAAAATATCATAAATTGAAAAAATCGTATTTAACCACACATCTTCCTATAGTTGAGAATCTATATCTATATGATATATATATATATAAATATTATTGTTAACATCATTTAACCAATTTTCAGCCACTTGCAATGGTGGCCGGGACGCATCATGCACAGCACTCCTCAGATTCCTCGCTGCTCTGCGCCGATTCCTCGCCACAGTCGCCCTGCTCGTTCCGCAGGGTGAATGTGCGACTGGCCTTGAGGAAAAGGCGCCGGACGTGGCCGTAGGGACCATATCCTGGACCACCGGGGGGATCCCTAAGGATGGCCTACAAAGCCCCGAACAACTAGCTGAAAAAATGGATTTCATTAGCCAACATGCGGGCTAAAACTGAGGATCATGGGAATATCATGGAATATGATGAATTGCTAAGCTTGAGGTTGTGACTTAAAACATTGCACGGACATGGGAAGAACAAAGAAGAATATAGAAATGTGCGTAGAGCCACTTACACTACAATGATACAGCTCTCGGTGTTGTGAATGCATCCGCTATACCAAAGCAGAGCTTCCCGGCACACTGGAAACAGGTAAGGGGTCAAAAACTACTATTGGATTCAACAAAGTATCCAAACGAATCAAACACACAAGATTTATTGGGATCAAACAATTATTCCAAAGGCATCAAACCAAGGTCTAACCAAACACATGCTATTCCGAATGTTTATTCGTAGCCATCTGTGTTGTCCTCACTCCATTTTTTGCAAGTTTTTCTCCGGTGGCATGCACCTTTTTTTTGGAGCTGCCTGCTGGTGCTATATTTTTCCTCTTTTTGTTCTGTACGTTGGTTGTTGAAAGTTGGAACAAGGTATTTGCGGATATTTGCGGAACATTTTGGCAGGTAAACCCCTTCATGTTGTGGTGTTGGCAGCTATGGCACCTATGGGTTCTTGATGGCTGTTGTTGGCGTGTGGGTTGAACATTTAGGAGGTTGGGGGGATGCGCTGCGCCTCCCCCCAATGGCGTTAGGGTCCGAGAACCTTTCATTTGGATGGTATATGCGGCATTCTGGAGCTTGAACCCTTGATTCATCTTGCATACATAATGTTTCCTGCCTTCCTTCGTCCCTTCATTCCTTCTTTCGTTCCTTCCCTCATTGCTTCCTTTTCTCCTTCCTTCCTTCCTTCCCTCCTTCCTTCCTTCCTTCCTTCCTTCCCTCCGTCCTTCCTTCCTTCCCTCCTTCCTCCATTCAATCGCTTGTTTCCTTTCTTCTTTTCTCTTTCCTTCCTTGCTTCCCTCCTTACCTTCTTTCTTTCTCGGCATAACTTCTTTTGATCCTGACCGTAATACGTCCTTTAGATTCTAATACTAATTCTTGGCCCGCATGCCACTGGAAGCAAATGGCTGGCCAGCACCCCAAACACGTTCCAAAATAGGGACTGCTGATCTGATTTTCTTTGCCGCGCATAAACCGTCATAATACCGTCATATATCACCCAGCTGGTGAGCACCAGACGTTGGAACTGTTTGGAGCCTGTATTCAGCCAGGCATCGGCAACTCAAGGTCCTGGAAGCAATGAAGCCACTGGTCACAGTGATCAGCGCAAAGAAAGGCGGTGAGAACGTTTCGAAAATACCTGGCTGGATGGAAATTTGCTGGTCTCCACAAGGAATTCGGCAAGAGGGTTCAACAACTGCAGGATTAAAGCTTTGCATGGCGGTTTCGCGGTGACCGGTCAAAAAAACATCTTTATATAGTATCTGCAATCAACTCAAACAAAACATTCGCCAAGTGGGTGTTATTATCTGACATGTCTTTGAAAGCAACCGCAAACAAAGTAACCGGACATTTGCAAGAGCACTTGCCAGATATAGCCGGCATCAACCAAGGCGCAGGTGATGAGGGATGGATAGTGTGGAGGAGCATTGGGCATCCGTTGCATGATGGACATCGAAGCGAGTTCCTCCCAGCCCTGACACAGGGCCACCAAATACGGTAGCACCAGGGCGGCCACAGAGCAAAGATACCAGGTGTGGAGCATGCCTCGTGTCCAGTCCGGCCCATGACGGCTGCAACGAAGCCAAAGGGGCACGCCAATAGCCGCGAGACAGGAGAAAGCAACACCTACAAAAGCTGCACCCTGTGGAGGGCGTGCAGAGATACCATGGTTTTTGCTGGAGGCCAACTAACCAAAAAACAACAAGACAACATCACCAGAGAAACATTAAAAACAGATCGGCATTTTGGCTTGGGCAGCAAGTGGCTAAAAATGCTCAAGTGTTTCCACGTGGGAAGTCGTGCAATTCCACGTAGATCAAGACGCGCCGCCGCATCTCCGCCACAGGCGCACCATAGTGAAGCGCCGATGGCAACCTGCAGGGTGCAAAGCACAAATACCCCTTTGGACCGCCCAGGGACGTTCACTCCTTGGAATAAACTTGCGAAACCAAAATTATTTCCCAGGGCTCCAGCCTATCAACATAGAAAGACAATGATGTCAAATCTTGGAGATGTTAGCTATAACATCCATACAACATCAATAATCCGTAAGCACTAAAAACCTTGTCTCCCAGCTTCTGAGCTTCGGTCATATATATCCGTTATCTCAAACATTTTATCCTGTCCCCGCCCGGAAAACAATCCTAATGTCGAATTCGCACATGGTGTTTGTGATTTCAGATATTTTTTTTCTTTTGGTCAATGTACAACATATGCAACAACACAATATCTATCATACCAACCTTTTTTTTTTGTACCCTGACCCCCCTTTTCAAATCTGTTTTACACATGGCCAAGGTCCAAAAAATAAAATCCATGGTCCTCAACCTAGGGCACTAGGTCATCTTATATGTAAATTACTATCTATATTTAAAAATTTCATCCGTGTAACAAACCTTCAACATGCGCAGAGTTAATCCATTTTTGACTCCAAACTTTCTTAAATCTTTGTTTGAAATAGACCTACAGGAAAAATCTTTGTGGTACAAACGGGTAAAAGCAAAGCTAATATTGTTGGTAGTTTCAACCTATTCCAAGACGGTCAAGAATGATAAGAATAGAGACCGCAAAAACAATGTTTCATTACTGCAATCCTGGTACGGCCTTCGCCTGCTACCTGGTGCGGAAGAAATTTCAAGTGAGAAAAAAAAGGGGTTGCCATGGTTTGCCCGCACTTCTGAGGAAAAAAGTAAGCGCAGAACAGCTGAACAATGTAAAACAACAAATGAGAAATCCCTTGCGATTGTTGGCGAAGGGGTTCCCATCATGATTAATATATGCAAGATAACAAAATCACCTGTAACCATCAATCATCCTTGGTTGCTAAAACCTTCTCTATGCATGCTGTGGTGAAACAATGAAATCCCCCCAAACAATCTCATGGACCTGGAATTGGAAACTCAACCCTTTTCACCGCACCTTCCATTTGAGATTCAGAATGCCAGCTCCTCGTATATCTTCGCCCGAATCGTAAGCCCGCCGCAGGCTGGCTGTGTAGGCTCCGGCCAACATCAAGACCCGCACCTCCCAGGTGTGTCTTTGATGATGGCATTCCCACTACATTTTGAATCATATTTAGGGTTAAATGGTGGCAACTATTTCATACGTGGAGCAATTTGTATTTAACCACCTAACATGATGGATTCAACCAGGAAAATGTGGTTTATTCAACGAAAAATGAAAGTTAAGCGGTTTTTAAACTTGATTTAACCATCAAACATGTTGATTTCAAATCGGGATGCCCTCTGGTATACGAACACGCTTGGATTTGCTCAAGATGGCAAGAAAAACACAGGGTGATATTCCCGGTGGGTTCACCAATGTTCTTACTTGAAAGAACCTCATCTAGTCAGTTGGGTTTGTTTCAAGATTTCATCCTTTTTCCATACTACATTGTTGTCTGAAGGGCATACCCCATTTTCGGACACGCTGTTGAGTTGGTTTAACGAACCATCGTTCTGTAGTGGTTCCTGGTGGTTCAGAAGCTTTATGAAACACCAACCTTTTCTGAATGACTGATAAAATCGTATGAACAGATTCCTGCTATTGGTGGGGTCGACTGTGGGGGAGTTTGGTGAAATCTCGATGACAAACTTTTTCTCTGTTTGGACAAGCTGTGTATATAATTGTATACTGTATGTATATAAATATAAATATACTTGAATAGTAAAAAATGAACAAAATAATTACTTTACTTCGTGTGATCCCCACCATGACATTTATACATTTTCTTACTGGCAAATCTTCTGGCATTCTATCTGACATATCTTCTGACAATCTATTTGGCATTCTATCTGGCATATCTTCTGGCATATGTTCTGGCATATCTTCTGGCATATCTTCTGGCATTCTATCTGGCATTCTATAAGGCATTCTATCTGGCATATCTTCTGGCATTCTATCTGACATATCTTCTAGCATTCTATCTGGCATATCTTCTGGCATATATTCTGACATATTTTCTGGCATTCTATCTGGCATCCTATCTGGCATTCTATTTGGCATTCTATCTGGCATATCTTCTGGCATATCTATCTGGCATATCTTCTGGCATATTTTCTGGCATTCTATCTGGCAAATCTTCTGGCATTCTATCTGGCATTCTATCTGGCATATCTTCTGGCATATTACCTGGCATTCTATCTGGCATATCTTCTGACATATCTTCTGGCATGCTATCTGGCATTCTATCTGGCATTCTATTTGGCATTCTATCTGGCATATCTTCTGGCATATCTATCTGGCATATCTTCTGGCAGATTTTCTGGCATTCTATCTGGCAAATCTTCCTACATGAGGTCCGGCAGGGAACACTTGGCGTGGATACTCGCGGTTGAGGTCCGGCAGGGAACACTGGGCGTGAATGGTCGTGGTTGAGGTCCGGCAGGGAACACTGGGCGGGGATGGTCGTGGTTGAGGTCCGGCAGGGAACACTGGGCGTGGATGGTCGTGGTTGAGGTCCGGCAGGGAACACTGGGCGGGGATGGTCGTGGTTGAGGTCCGACAGAGAACACTGTGGATCGCGGGTCGCAGTTGGACGAGGAGGACGGCGAGGAGGACGACGAGGAGGACGACGAGGAGGCGAGGAGGACGAGGCAGGAGGAGGCGGAGGAGAAGGAGGAGGCAACTGACATAAAATCTAACAACCCTCACCTGGCAGGTGGGGAAATAAAGAACTAACTAAATATATATATATAAATATTATATATATATGTATAATTATTATATATATAATATTATATATATATATATATATATCAACCCCGCCACGAAAATTTGGCAAAATCAAAACCCTGCTTCTCCATAAACTGAATTACTGAAATCTTGCGGGACCACAAATAAAAGAAAAAACAAACTCCTACTAAATGACTTTTTGGTGGGCCACTAAACACTAATTAATACCTTCGAGTCAGTGAGCAGCAACTCCATGGCACCGTGATGTCCACATCATCTTCGAAACCGCCAATGGCGCGGCGGATACGCTCTTCATCGAACCTGTTGCTGCATTGCGCCTCCTGCACCTTGGCTACGACCCGGGCACGACCAAGCAAGAAGTATGACCAACAACGGTTACAGCTAAGGCTGGGTTGACCAAGGGTTCGTGCCGGCGTGTGCTTTTTGCTCACAGAAGTTCCTTGATCCTCCGTTTGAGAGAATGATCGCGCGAAAATTGATCTTGGAGAGCGTTCTTGTGGAGGTACGTTCTCACCATTTCTCACCTGCGTTCCGTCCGTTTTTGGAGCTGCGTACGTTGCCGTGGCAGGCGCAAAAGATATAAAAGATTGATAAAGGAGTGCGCAAACAATTGATTCATCTGCGCCCACAGCGTCTTATACCATTTCTTACCATTTTTGCCACATCTGTGCACACAATACTCTATACACACAGGGGATCACAGGGGTGGGGTAGGGTGCCAACAATGTTCATGTTCGCTTGCACACACACAGGCACTGCACACTGATCATGTGGCGTTGGGGTTGGGGTGCCACAAGCGTTCATGTTCACTTGCGCACACAGGCACTGCACACTGATCATGTGGCGTTGGGGTTGGGGTGCCACAAGCGTTCATGTTCACTTGCGCACACAGGCACTGCACACTGATCATGTGGCGTTGGGGTTGGGGTGCCACAAGCGTTCATGTTCACTTGCGCACACAGGCACTGCACACTGATCATGTGGCGTTGCGGTTGGGGTGCCACAAGCGTTCATGTTCACTTGCGCACAAAGGAACTGCGCACTGATCATGCGGCGTTGGGGTTGGGAAAGGGTTGGTTTGGGGTGCCAATGACGTCCGCGTTATCCGTGTTCACCTGCGTACGCAGGCACTGCACACTGATCATGTGGGGTACTGAAAGAGCAGAGTAGAGTGAACTTGCGTAGAAGCTAGTATATAGAATAGAAAAAGTCGGAGGAAAGTACACTGAAGACGTGCAAGGACGAGCAAAAGACCCGCGAGCACTGACAGACGAGCTGATTCTCGCGTGTACAGGTGAGGTCCTAAGCCAGAGGATTCGTCACTTTTGGCGTGGCAGGCGTAGGACATCGGGCACTTTTTCATCTGTGTGGTAGTCGCAGTACTTCAGGTGCATGACTTCGGACGCCTCAGCTTCATTTTTCCTAGCAGGTGCCACACTCTGGAACTGTGACGTTCAATGAATCTTTAAACGTCGATTTTTGAAGCCTCCTTGCGGCGCGGTGCAGATCTGATATTGCACGGGCAGCCTTCTCGTCACTTAGTGCGTGTCAGATGAAACTTTTGCTGTCCTTTGGCGCGTTGCTGATTTTAATTGACCTTCTGTGCCGATCTTGCGAGAGTTTCGGAGAGGTCCTGGCATGAAGATCTTGACCAAGATCTTGTACAGGTCCTGGGGTGCTTATATGCAAGCTCTTGTGGGATGCTGTTGAGAAGTTACTACCATACAGATCCTGCACGATCCTCTCTAGATGGTCCTTCTATGTGACAATCTTGCGAGATTCTCTTAGAGCGTCCTTCTTCGAAGATTTTGGTCAAGATCTCGCAGAGGTCTTTGTGGGAAGATTCTTTGGAGATGCTGGTGCCCCCCTCTAGAAAATATCCGTTTGGAGGTTTTTGTTGAGTGCTCCTTGTATGCAAGCTCTTGTGGGATGCTCTCTTAGCGGTCCTGGCATAAACACCCTTGGAGGATCTAACTGAAATTCTTGTACAAGTCCGTGTGTGAAGTTCTAAGCCAAGATCTTGCAGAAGTCCTTGTGAGAAGTTCTTGCGGAGATGCTGGCGCAATCCTCCTAGATGTCCTGCTATAAAGATCTTGAATATATCCCGTGAGAGGTGCTTGTATGCAAGCTCTGGTGGTATGCTCTTAGGAGGCTCTTGTTTCATCTTGTTTCAAGATCTTGTAAGATGCTCTACGATGTCCTTGTTAATTACATGATCTTGTGAGAGTTTGGAAGGGGCCCTGGTATGAAAATAATTGCATACAATGGCACTAGTCTCTGCAAATATCACTGGAATGATGGGTACCGTCCAACAAACACACGACAACCCATGGAGATCCATGGTGGTTTCACTTGGAAGTGGTGGATGTGCATGACCTTTCTCCATGTTAATGATTTTTCTGGAAGGTATGACCGTCATGCGGGCAGGCTGAGAAACCAAGTTCATATGGAGTGATATAGGTGGATGGCGGCCAACATCGAGGCCGCAAATAGCTGTAAATGGACGATTATGCACCCACAAAAATGGGTCGCTTAATATAATAACATAGGTCCCGCTATGTCTTGATCCATATGGATAGCAACCAGCATTGGCAACAACTTGGAGCTGAAAAATTAAGACTTGCAATGTAATTTTTGAATGCCAACGTCTTTTTGAACCAAGGCGCGGTCTGACAGGACAAATTTTGGGCTTGCTCTGCGAGCTGCTTGAACTCCAACAGCTGCATATCCAAGTGCATGAGGCACATCCTGGGCAAGGCATTCTGTAGGCCTGGTACAAGTAGGTTGCAAATAACCTCCAACCACGTAGATTTGTCCACTCCGGGGCCGTGACAACAATCCAAATAGATTCCCCACACTCACTGGGTTAATGGATGAGAAAATAAAAGTGTGTTACGTGCAAGCGAAGCAGCACACGATCATCTAGAACATGTTTTGACACATTGCAAGAAAACATAGAAAATAAAATGCCTACCAAGAGACTGAATGGTGAAATGCTTTTCTATTCTTTTTTGGGTTCCATGATGCAAATACAAAGTTTGTTGCAAACATGTCCAAAAAACATCTTGCTAAAATTGCAACCCAGCATCAGGTTGAAAATGAAAAGCCCACAGGGGATGAAGTAGTGCAAGAAGTCCGCTGGTCCTGTCGACAGGTTTCCTGCTGCTAGACTGGTTTAGGATCTTTGAGACTTGTCAAAATTATGACGCTATCACACTTTGAATGTATGACATGGTGCGTTCACACAAAGTGTGTTCATGTTTCATATGAAAGAATTTGCATAAATGCGTCTGTATACACTGATACCAAGATTTTGCGTGAGTGTGCATGAACCGTGTTGTAAAACGTATTGTGATCCATTGTATTGTCATTTATTGTATTGTATTGTATTTTATTGTATTGTATTGCATGGTAGTGTATGGTCTCGCCGCATTGCATCATTGCCTTAGGATGGATTGTATTGCATTGAGCTGTGTTGTATTGTCTTGTGTTGTAACTTCATTTGCGTTTCTCTCCCTCTCTTTATAAACCACCTCATTTTCTACATGTTGATGCCATACTTCTAAATGCCTAGCTTGATTCAGCTACATTCAAAATGTTTTAAAAACAACATTTTCTCAGTTCAACTACAACTGCAGGCCACTGAGCTGCTGAGGCGCCGGGTTCCAGATCGTATGGCAGTTCCCACCAGAGAAGGGATACAGATGTTGCCAAGAAAAGGCCCACCGCGTGCAAAGACTTGGCGAAGGCCATGCATTTCTCCATCTGCGGGGGCACCATGGCCCAGAAGGCTGCTATTACCGTCACGGCTAGGCAGCTGAAGATAACCTGAAACTGTTGACCCGTGGGCTGTTTAATTTGGTGGACCAATTTATTCCTGGCGAAGGTCCCTAAGTTTTAACAAAACTTCTTCCCGCCCACACACACACACATACGGACACACGTACACACACGCACACACACAAATACACACCTACACGCCCACCCACCGACACAAACAGTGAGCTTGCCAGCTCTCTGGGCCTCTGCGGGCCCGACCACTATGGCGAGCTTGCCGGCTCTGGCTCTGGCCCGTATGGAGCCGACCCTTATGCCAGATAGAATGCCAGACTGAGTAGATTGGCAGGTGTATGTCGGAAAGTCTAACATAGAATGCTGGAGAGAATGCCAGATAAAATGTCAGAAGCTATGTCAGATAGAAGGTCAGTACGGCAGAAAAAGTGTGAAATAGAATGCCCAATAGAATGTCAGAAAGAATGTCAGGTAGAATGCCAGATAAACTTCCAGAAAGAAAAACCAGGAAAAATTCCAGAATAATGTCGATTAGAACGCCAAATTGAGTGGCAAATGAAATGCCAGATTGCCAGATAATATGCAAAATAAAATGTCAGAATATATGCCAAATAAAATGTTAGCTTGTATGTCAAATATATACATGGAAATAGGATGCCAGATAGAATGTCAGAAAGAATGCCGGATAGAATGCCATCGAATGCCAAATAACATGTCAACATTATGTCGGAAAGAGTCCCAGATAGAATGCTAGAATATATGCCAGTTAGAATGCCAGATAGAATGGCAGAGAAGAACCCCCGTTGAAATTACAGGGTCCAGGTCGTGAAGGACAGTTTGTAGGCACATTACAGAATTCACAACCTAGGTGATCTACAAAAAGAAATCCACAACCTCAGTTGAACCTCTACAAAAAACAATGCCAACCCAGATTCAGTCTCTACAAAAAGAACCTGATTTTCTTATCCAACCCCCTTGATCTGCCTTGGTCACTGCTCTTGTTGGGTTGGCTTAAAAAGTCTGAACGTTTTGTAGTGGACCAAAACCACCTCCTTTCAATGCCATCTTCTTTTTGTAGCTGGGTACGACCTCGAAATGTAGCATGTTCCTGGATTGCTGGCGTTTAAAGTGGGAATCCCACCAGTTGAAAAATAAGGCCTGCCTAACCCTATCCATCCTAAGCTATCACTCCCAATGTGTGTTTAAATGCAGCATTTTGCCTTTTTCAAAGCATAGTGACTGGGCCATATTTGGAATGTGCATTTTTGTAGAAATGTTTTGGTCGCTTAGGGAGACCTGACCATCCAAAATGTGGGCAATTTTCTGCTTCACCTTCTGAGGATTTTGGGCTTCTATAGATTTTGTTTTTGGGAATTGGATGATGGATTTGAACGGGTTACAGTTGATGCAGCCTCTGGCCTTTTATAGCAAAGAATTGCTGGGAACACATTTTTGCACATAGCAGTGTTTTGGTAGCTTAGGCCTCGCCATTCAATATTCAGATTGAGGCTTTTTCCTTCCTTGGCCTTCTGAGGATGGGAAACTGGCCCCTCAGCATTCCAAAGCCGCAGAAGAGGGATGCAGCTGTGACTGCGGTGACTTCACTGAAGCTCTGGGGTTTGCAAAGTTGTGGAAGGGAGTTTGTTCGTCAAATTTCACCATGGTTGTACATTGTGTATTTTTTGGCAGCTGGAGATTGTTCTGCATTCGTGAGTGGTTGTGAGTGGATGTGAGTGGATGTGAGTGGTTGGCGCTTTCTCTGGAGGTGAGAGGTCTGGGAAGGTTCCTTGGATTGGGATGGCCTTCGGGTTGGGGCTTCTAGGGAATTCTTTTTTTGGAATGTGGTGATCAATTAGATGCAGCCTCTGGGCCGCTCGCATTTTTGTAGCCTGGGAGGGCTGGGAACACATTTTTGTAGCTGTGTTTTGGTAGCTTAGGCCTCGCCATTCTTGTCCAAAACCCAAAAGCAACAAGTTAGAATCCTCAAAAAAGGAACCACCCCAACATGGGTACGCTACGATTGGGTCTCTTACCCATTTTTTCTGCCATCTAGGTTAAGTTTCCGATTTGATCACAACCAATTCGTGCTGGCGGTTTCGGATTCGACGCTGGTGGTTTTCAGCCAGAGATTCAACATCTTACAATGCAGTGGAAACCTCGTCGACACCTTCAATGAAACTCAGGGGGGCTGGGAAAGTTCTGCGGGTTGAAACCTGAAGAGATTTTACCTTAAACTCGACCATTTTGCACTTTTTGTAGCACCCTGCGGCTGGGAACACGTTGTGTAGCGATGTTTGGTGGGTGATGTAGATGTTAGATTACAGCCTTGCTGTGTAAGGTGGAGCTTTCCAATTTTTCACAACAGGAAATGTGAACCAATAAGGCTCGGAAAAAAGTCTGAACACTTTGAAATTGACCCCTTTTATCCGGTTCAAACTTGATGCTTGTTTGAAAAGAATACTCACCTTCCTGGGTCTACCCTGTTCGCTGCTTGGCTTTCTCAGAATGGGAAGCTGGCTCAGCGTTCTGAAGCTACAGAACGGGAACCAGTTTCTGCTACTGATGCTTTGGATTTTGAGGTCATGGCTAACGCAGAAGTGAAGAATTGATAGCGGCTTGCCGCATTTGCGTTTTTCTGTCCAGGGGGTTCTGCAAAGATTGAAAAATACAATATAGGAAGATGAAGAAAGATGAGTAAGGATGACTTAGGATGAATCAGGATGAAAAAGGTACATTTCTGATTTTCTTTTGCTGATCTTTTGGTGGTTTGGGAGCCAGGCTTGGCTCCTTGGGACAAATTGTCCCTTTCCTAGCCATCATCACGTTGTATCTGATGTGAGGTTCTGATGTATAGACCACTCGTGGAACAAAAGGGTTGGTCCGGATCTGGCAGAAAATCTTCACAGAATGATCATTTTAAGAATTGTTTTATAAGAACAAATCAGGCCTTCAAACTGCAATATATTTCGACACGGTTTCTGAATCCAAGCGCCAAACCTACCAATGAGATCTTCAGATATCTGCTGCACTTTTGCCCGACACGACGTCTCTATCATCATGTCGCTGCATTGTAGTCTGGCACGACGTCATGTCTGCTACAAATAGCGTGCTCGACCTTGGGGACGTCCCTCAAACTCGATCCAAAACTATCAAAATTTACATTCTACAGAAAGAAAGTGGGATTTAACACCAAGGTCAACAAAGGCACCTTTTGCTACAAATAGCTGTGCCCACACCATGGGTCACAAACAATTCGCATGGAATATGCGTTTTGTACAGGCCTAGCTTTTCGCAGTGGAAATTTCAACGGTGATAGATTTTTGTCAGATAGAATGTCAATACGCCAGATAAAATGCGAAATAGGATGCCAGATAGAAAGCCAGAAAGAATGTTAAATAGAATGCCAGAAAAACTCTAGAAAGAACTGCAAAATAGAAGGTTAAATAAAATGCCAGAGTATATGTCCGATAAAATGCGAAATAGAATGCCAAATAAAATGTCAGAAAGAATGCAAGATAGACTGCCAGATAGAATGCCAAAACGTTGCCAGATAAATTGTGAGAATATATATATAATATATATATATATATTATATTATGTCAGATAAAACGCCCGGATATATGTCAGATAGAGTGTCAGAATACAGATCAGGTAGAATGGCAGATGAAATGTCAGAATATGAATATACGTCAGATAGAATGTCAGAAAAGAGATCAGGTGGCAGATAAATGCAAATAAAATGTCTGAATTCATGTCAGATAGAATGTGACCATATACGTCACCAAATAAACTGTCAGAGTATACGTCAGAAAAAATGGTGAGAATGTATAGCAGAGCAAATGCTGCGGTGGGGCTCCATCGAAGATTTTTTTAAGGGAGAAATCTTCGAATTCGAAGTGATCTCAAGTTTCTAGCTGTTCATCAAGGATTGGCACCAAGAGCACCGGAAGCATCCACTTTGAATTCCCTTGATGCGGCTAGTTGATCTATTTGGACTTGTGCCGGCCTTGAAAACACAGTGCCGGCCATACTTGGGGTACATCGCGTAGCGCCAAAGCAAGCTGGTCAGCAGTCCAAGGAGGAAAGGAATCAATAAAACTTTGGCGCATGAATAGCCTTGCCGTCGGGCATGAGGTGTTGCAGGCATCAGGCAGAACTTTTCCATGGTGGTGCCCAAATACGCCTCGTAAACACACCAAAGCCTACCTTGGATTTGCTCGTGTGTGTGTGTCTGTGTGTATGTGTGTGTGTAGGCTTGCTCTGCCACAGCCTGGGTTCATCAAAACTTGGATTTGCCCAGAATGAGTGTGTGTGTGTGTGTCTGTGCGTGCATGGTCTTGCTCAGTAGGCCATTCAAAAACAACAATAATCCCCAAAGAACTCCAAATGGTGGATTAACTTACATGGGTAAAAGAAGCCATCCATCAAACTCCAAGCTGCTGTAGATGGAAATTTTCGAGTTGGGAATCACCAAAATGTGCGAAGCTCGCTGCAAGGCTTGAGCAAAGGGATTCATCAAGGGAGCAACCTCAAAACGGCCCGGGCTGTCTACTTGGTGGTTGATCCACAGCACTGAGAAATATGCTCGTTGTGGGGAACCATCATTGCGTTTCTATGGTTGGACCGCTTGAAAACACCCGTGGGGTCCAACTAAGGTCAAAATTGAAGAATGGCAGTCCTCTCATGGCTAACTAACATTAACAAACTGCATTTGATTGGCCAATCGCAGCAAACAAATGCGAACGCTAACCTATCATGGCATTCACGTCACGCCTACCTAACATTACCTAACTGAGGTTGATGGGTAAATCATGGCAAACTGATGCAACAACCCTGAACAAAAAAACAAGAGACGTTCAGGAACACCTCCAGGTCCAAGTTCTGAGGGTTGGCCAATAAACCTCAGATTGAACAAAGCCATACAAAGCCACATTGGGTAAGGCCTGAGAACCGCAAACTGTGTTTTTTTTGACGCGTTGATTCCCTTTTTCTTAGCCTATGGGTTTCCGCTGGACACACAAACTAATTAAACATAATTAAACCATATTCAGCCTATGCATGCAAAATCATGCAAAAAGGAAGGTTTTTCCCCCAGATAGTGAGCGATGGGGATTCTTACTTCTCTATATAGGGGATCCTGATCGCTAAAAATTGCCGCTGCAGCCTCTTTGTCTCCCAGTCTTGTCCCCCTTCATGATCGCCACCTTCGCTGCCGCTGCTGTCCTGACTCCCAGCCTTGTCTACCTGCATGATCGCCACCGTCTCCAGCCTTGTCTCCCTATGATCGACACCTTCGCTGCCGTTGCTGCCTTGTCTCCCAGTCTTGTCTCCCTGCTCTCCATGTCTTGTCTGTGAACTTGTAAACTGACGAAAAAACATTGCTATCTGGGGTCTATGCCGGTGAAATTTGACAGCGTACTGAATCAATAAATACAAACTCGTATAAACTCGCGTTTTTTGCAAAACATTTTTTGCAAAACATAAACTAAACCTTCAGCAATGATATGGCCACCCCTCTTGATTCTTGTCTGTGCGAAATAGGAACCAGTTGTTCTTTTCCGAAACAACACTCTTTCATGGTCGCACGTCGGCTTGGCAAAGCGAAACGGGCCTACAGAACAATTTTTCCAAAATTCGGCAAAAGCACCATTGCCCTTGACAAAACCTGCAGGGTGGGTTCGAGCATTTTTGAAGCGTTTGTTTAAGCAGTTTGGGGTCAAGGAAAGAGCAACTGGCGTAAGTCTACGGGACGGAGTATAGTACCTCCAATCTGTTTGCATGCTCATGAGCACATGTCAATCTCGTTTTCTTCGGAAGCCCATCCAAAAAGAGGGTGCCCCCAGGCCCATCCAGGCCCTAAATCATTCCAAATCCACTGGCTAAGAATCAATCGGACGGACATGAAAATTATGAAAAACTGCAACAAAACATGTGCCCCACAAACACAGGCACACTTCAAGTTTCAAGACCCAGAAACAGCAATAGAGATTCGTGAGCCCGTGGCCTCCGGGCCAAGCTGATCTCACACCATTGCCGAACTCAAAGATCCCTTCCTCAGCCCGGGTGGCTATGGATGGTGCCCCACAATGAACTAAATTCGTTTATATAGTTATCTGAACGGACAGATTTACGCATGCAGAACCAACATATACCTGGGGTCATCACATTGTCGGCCAGGATCACAACTATATGATCTTAGACAAATAACGCACCTGTTTGCAGGGGATGCCAGTGGGGCTGGCAGGCCTGCAAATTTTTGAAAAAAAACTTTTGCAATCGATTATGGGGCTCTGGACCTGGATTATGGGTCTTCCACATGTGGTTTCATGGACCTTTTTCTTTACATAAATCAACCTAAATCAACCCTTCCTTTGAAAGGTTTTGATGTTAATACAGGTAGCCTGCTAAGATTGCTAAGATATGACCATGCCGACAACTAAGATTCCTTCGACCAATGAGATCATTGGCCCGCAATTCTTATTTAACCAATTGGGACCCTTTAGCCCTTTAGCCGCTAATTGGGAACCATGTTCTTTCAAACCCTTTTCCAATTCTATTGACGCAAAAGGATGTCCAGTCCAAATTTCGAAACAACATCATTCCTAAATCGAAATTCTGTTCAATGGGATCCCAGATCAAACAACTTTAAAGTGATTGCATTTTACATATTCAGGATCTAATTGGGATTAACTGGATATATGGAGGCAGCAGCGACCGAAAATGGTACCAGACACATGCCTTTTGAACTATAGTAAAGGTATAGAGCCAACAAATCAAGATAGTAACAATCCCCAAAAAACTCAAATCTGTCAAAGGTTCAATTTTGTTAGGATCTAAACCTTAAATTTTTCAGCAACTTATTTTACAGACTTTGTGGACCTTTTTTCCGTTGCGGACGATTATGGGGCATGAGACGTCCTGAGATCTGCTGATTTTTTTTTTTTCGGCGGAACTTTTGGGGGCCTGTGCCCCTTGATCGGTTGCATTTGTTTTTTTTACGGACTTTGTCCGTCGGCGGAACTCCACTACACAAATTATGCACCTGACATCTGCTGATTTTTTTTTTCGGCGGAACTCAACATCACAAAATGTGTAGTGGACTTCTGCTGATTCAATGGTTTTCCCTAGGATTTCTGCTGTTTTTTTTTTTCCGGCGGAACTCAACATCACAAAATGTGCGCCTGAGTTCTGCTGATTTGTATGGATTTTCGGCGGAAGTTCATAAGTTTAGTAACAGAGCGTCCCTGCAGCATTTTCTCTCACTGGCTTGTTACTGACCCAGCTGCAATGGATGCAATGGAAGAGGATTGGAGTGAGCCTGAATTTCAGGACACTGAATTCAAAGTATGCCCCGTTTAATTGATGGACTCTAGGTCCTCTAACATATATTCTCAAGTTTTTTGGGAATTAAATCTTGTATGGGAAATATCACCCTGCCACATATATATATAATATAAATATCATACATATATACATATATGTGTTTCTATCCAGGTATGTACACACCGACACATAAAAGACATATGTGTATATGTAAATATATATATATATATATATGTTTGTAGGTCTGACATACGTACATATATATATATGTATCTATGTGAATATATAACTTATGAGTATACATATTTCATCGGATTCAATATGAATTCGACACACACACACATATATATATACAACTGTCTATATCTATCTATCACCCTGAACCACCTCTTGGTGTGTGTGTGTCTGCGGAGATGGGAATGCTGTGTTATTCTCTATTATCTTAAATATATTTTAATCAGTTATATTTAGTATGAAGGAAGTATATGTTGGTATTATATCACATGACATATATATATATATATATCACATGATCTAAATACAAATACACAAACACATATATATTATATAGTTATATAATCATATACGTGTACCTATATACATATATATAAATATATTTATACATAGCTATAATTTCGTATGGGTATAATATGGGGCTCAAAGGATCCAAATTGATGTCCCCAAATCAAAATCCCAAGCCCCATAATTGACTGCAAAAGTTTAAAACAAAAATTGAACAAAGTTGCGAGATATTGGTGTCGCGCTGGTTTGCTAAAGTTGTTACAGGAGCCCTTCAGGAACATGACAAGGAACGGTCTGCGAAGTCTAAGCGATTGTCACCCGGGAAGAAGCTGTTGCAGTTACAATATGTTACAATATGTTACAATCCTATATAAGGACGGGCCTGTGGATCATGTATTGGTACGGTGTCTCGTTAGATGCGAGGTTTTTTCCATTCACACGACCGGGATCAATAAGGACAATCCCATTGGCCCATTTCTTTGTATGTATCTTGACTAAAAGCGCCAATGGGTCATGACGAAAACTTCCAAATCCGGGCCTGTCGACTTCTGTGTTTGCTTGTGGTGTGCAACTCCAATACTTGGTACTCATTCTGGGGACTTCTGCCATTTTGTGCTTGTTCTTCACTTCTGTCATTTCAATAAAACATATAAAACCAGGGGCGGAATCTCAAAACAGAAGATTCTTAGAATCTTACATTCCAAAAGTCCCCAAGTGACCCCAACTCAGCGGAATTTCCAGCCTAGCTTTGCTTTCAAGCCCTGTCCGGCCTTCATGCGTGGCTGCTCGCTTGCTTGGAACTCGGGCGTCGCTTTGCCGCAACCAGACAGTTTTTCTCTTTGCTAGTCAAGCTATGAAAGGATGTTTGGCAGTTTGGCAAGTATCCTGGTATAGATTATATACGCGGAACTTGCAGGAACCAGACTCCGTTTCTAACCTGGAATAGAAGCCCTCCTCGGCGTCCTCTGTTAGCCTTACCCACTTACGTATATCGTGTAAAAATCTATCCTGGCCACGCAATGAAATGATGAAAATTCAACGACATTCAACTTCATCATACAGCATCTGAAGACTGACATTAACCGAGCCCCGAAAGAAACCTCGTCTCATTCTAGGCATGATGGTCACAGAAATCAGCCAGCAGCCCTGGAGGCCAAGCTTCAGCCCAGGCATGTGAGATGAATACCTGGCATGGAAGACCTTGAGGATGTAACCACAAGGCATAGCTCATCCCTCCAGCTGCCAACGTCTTCGGCTTTACAAAATACCTGGGACATCCCCAATCAGATCAGTGTTGAAATGTTGGCTAATGCTTTCCACCTGTTTCAAAACATCCCAAGCAATCAAAAGGCGTAAGAAAAGCTTGAATATCTGAAACCACCTGCCAGGTAATCAAACCGGAAAAACATCCAAAATGAAGAGGGGAAACTGCCTTGTACATGTTTAAAGCGTGAAAGCGCCCACCGTGCTTGTGCACTGCCGGAATACTCATTAACCTGGTAGAGATTTGGCCCATGACGGCTGCACTCATGTAACGGATCTGGATTGCTTTCCTCAGATTTGGAAAAGGCGCGGCGCGGCGAAATCTCTCTCTCTCTCTCTCTCCACATGGTTTTGCCCAAACATGGCGCACTCCTTACAACTTAATGAACACTGGATGGAAAATAAACACATTCTTGATCTTCTGGACATGTTTGGGCCAACACAAGTCAACTCATTCCCTTTGGCCCCAACAAAAGTGTGCCAGGTTTCACTCTGCAAGATCTCTCCCACCAGCCAGGCCGCGCGCACGTCTTCCACAAATTGGAAGAATTCGTTGAAGGTCAGGCACCAATGATCTGCTGGAACCCGAAGATGAAGCTCCATAGCCGGCAGCAATGACATCCATCTTCATGGTAAAAACACCACTGATGTCGTCAAAGTCGGATAGGTCGGTCAAAGTGGTAGAGTCTCCAATGTCTTGGAAGTCTTTAAGGGTAATCCAATCTTTGCCCAAACCTTTTTCCATCATTTTCCTATGCTTTGTTTGGGTTTGCCTTTTTGCCTCTGCACATTGCTCTGCTTGTTGACCTGTTGAAGCTCCATGTGTGCTTCCCTGCAATATCCAACTGAAGGATCAAGGGCGCAAAAGGCAATATCAGGTGAAAAAGTCATGCAAGTCACGTGGGATCATCATTCCATGTGTCAAAATACAACAGATTTCAGACCACCTGCAAGTCTAGCGGCACCCATTTCAACAGTGCCGTGGCTGAAGCAGCTGCTGCTGCGGAACAAAGCCGGTGGCAACTGACTTTCCTCCCGAAGACTTTCACAAGCGTAGACAGAGAAAAAAGCAATGAACATTTTCATCATGAATTTTGGCCACGCTTCGGTTTTTTTCGTCTATTTTCCATTCTGTTGCTGGATCGTCTTCTAGTGCCGGAGGACTGGGCAAATGCCAAAATCTTGACCTACGTTCCTACGTTGAATTCGCCTGCGTCATCCGCTCATGATATTGCCATAGCTGACACGTCTTTGCCCACATCACGCACCAGTATTTAAAACGTGGGCAACAGGCATGCCTTTAAAAAACTGAGGCGGAACATGATTGAAACTTGGAATGTGTTTAACTCGGTTCCCTTCTTCAGGTTTAACTTTTCTGGTTGTAGCCTCTATACAGCACGTCGTTTAGCACAACGCACTCTTGCTGCCAACCCCCTGTTTTCACCCCATAGGCTGTTGGACAAGAAAGAAAACAACCCATTAATTTGAAACCAGCGCCAGTCAGATTTCTTGCAGTTGCATAATTTTGACACCCACCAGCTTTTTAAACGAAAATGAACACCTGTAGCTTATCTCTACACCTTCATCCATCAATTTGCCAAAAATCAGTTTTTTTTTTAAATGGATGGATGGGTGCATCAATTTGGATGTGAATCCTAGGAGTCCTAACCACGTGGCAAAGCCAAAACCATAAAATGACAGGTATCTTTCAATCACCAATTGGAGGATATTGGAGGCTTATAGCCTTGGCTTACACTATTTTGTTTGAACATCGAAGGGTTAGCCCAAGGCATTGTTGTCCATCATGATTCAACTGGTGCTCTCCCCTGATGTAAAGAACATCCTTATTATTGAGACATCCCTGTCTATACTCTCTGGTCATCAAACTGGAAAAATCTCCATTTGCAAATTATGTTCTACCGCTGTTTTTCAATGTTCAACTGTCACGTCATTTTCTTCAACCCGCCGCCTCGTTCCCAATGGTTATTCCTTGGCAGGCATCATGCACGTGCTGCACCGCCTTCCTCGCTTTCGCTACTGCTGCCCTGCGAAGATTCTTGGCCGTCACTGTAGCCATCCTTGCTACGCTTGGTGAAGCTTCGAGCGGCGAGGAAAAGGCGTCGCATGTTGCTGTAGGGACCATATCCTCGGCGATGGGACACTGGGGATGACCTCGAAAACAACGGCTGACAAGCATGACTGACAAAAGGAGTCGTGAGAATCATTCATTCTTCATGAATGAATGAATGAAAGAAGCACTGACTGAATGAGTGAAAAATGAAAGAATGAGTGAGTCAGTCGCATGATTGAGTCGAAGGAACGGATGATGGTTTACACATCTTTGAACAAAACTGAGCTCTCTATATACAGTCTATGCAAACTCATCCTCCGAAAGCGGTCCAACCATAATGCGGTGAAAAGAAATGCGTCATCCAAACCGAGCTGTCGCTTTTTCCGACATCTTTTTCCGACCGTGACATGTGTCCGTATACCTCGGAAGGTTGCTAACTAGCATCCCTTTCCTATAGGGAGATGTTAAGCTTGCAGAGATGATGACTTTGACATTGAAAGCGACAGTTAAAAATATACAAACATGTCAAAACTACCTGGATGCGCATCTCCATTGGTACTGTAAGTTGGTATAAAGATGAAACCATCATAGCCGGGTCAAATGTGAGTTATATATATCCCGGTTAGAAATGGGGTATTGACAACCTACTACTTGGGACACACCCCAATACTGAGAACCACCTACAAGAACTTTGGGTTTAAGGGACAGTAATTTAGGCTATTTGTACATGCAATGGAGAATTACCACCAAGAACGTGTGTATAGTGGAACAACAAAATTGCCCCCCCGAAATGATTCTCTTTTTTGACTGGCCACTACAGTTATGGCGTATGAACAGTTATAAATGTTAAAAATCAATCATAACCTTATTTATGGAATGATCATCCCATCTATAACCATTTATAAGCGGTAAAGGGCTTTAACATGCTTTAACTGTAAGGAAATCAACCAGCACAATGGCGAACCGCTCGAACACTAGACTTCTTTTCGGACGTGAACCAAGCATCGGCAACTCAATCTCCTGGAAGCAATGAAGCCACTGGCCACGCTGAAAAGAGCAAAGAAGGGCGGTGAAAACGTCTCGAAAATACCTGGCAATGGAAATCCACTGGAAAGAAACTGCACAGCACACAATTTGAAACAACAATGACTGGGTGAAACCTTTCATAAAGGTGGTCCGTGGTTTTCGACGTGACTGTTCAAAAAAAGAATCGTTTTCAAGAAGTGCTTGATGATGTTTGCTGGCTTCAACCTCCTTTAGAAAACAATATCCAACTGGTTGATGTTTCAAGTCTGTTCATCCCACAAAGTGCGCTTAACCTCACCATGCTCCCACCATGGCCAGGTGCAGGTGACCAGGGATGGATAGTGTGGAGGAGTATTGACCATCCGTTGGATCATGGACAAGGTTGTGAGTTCCTCCCAGCCCTGACACAGCGCCACGACGTAAGGCAGCACCACACTAGCCACGGACGACATATACCAGCTGTGAAGCGTGCCACGTGTCCAGTCAGGCCCCTGGTGGCTGCATCGAAGCCACAGAGGCATAGCAAAAGCCACCAGAAAGCAGGAGACCACACCTGGCCGTGCAGAAGCATCATGGTTTTTGGGTTTTTGCTGGCAAAAACTCAACATCACCATACATCACCTGACCCGAAAAAAGATGGAAACAATCACATGTTGCAAGAAAAACATGTCAAATTACTTTACTTCGTGTGATCCCCACCATGACATTTATACATTTTCTTACTGGCAAATCTTCTGGCATTCTATCTGACATATCTTCTGACATTCTATTTGACATTCTATCTGGCATATCTTCTGGCATGTGATCTGGCATATCTTCTGGCATATCTTCTGGCATTCTATCTGGCAAATCTTCTGGCATTCTATCTGGCATATCTTCTGGCACTCTATCTGGCATATCTTCTGGCACTCTATCTGACATATCTTCTGGCATTCTATCTGGCATATCTTCTGGCATATTTTCTGACATATCTTCTGGCATTCTATCTGACATATCTTCTGGCATATATTCTGACATATCTTCTGGCATATCTTCTGGCATATCTTCTGGCATATCTTCTGACATATCTATCTGGCATATCTTCTGGCATTCTATCTGGCATATCTTCTGGCAAATCTTCTGGCATTCTATCTGGAATTCTATCTGGCATATCTTCTGGCATATAATCTGGCATTCTATCTGGCATTCTATCTGGCATATCTTCTGGCATATATTTTGACATATCTTCTGGCATTCTATCTGGCATTCTATTTGGCATTCTATCTGGCATATCTTCTGGCATATCTTCTGACATTCTTTCTGACATTCTTTCTAACTTTCTTCTGCACATTCTTTGTCCCATATCTTCCTACATGAGGTCCGGCAGGGAACACTTGGCATGGATACCCGCGGTTGAGGTCCGGCAGGGAACACTTGGCATGGATACTCGCAGATGAGGTCCGGCAGGGAACACTGGGCGTGGCTGGTCGTGGTTGAGGTCCGGCAGGGAACACTGGGCGTGGCTGGTCGTGGTTGAGGTCCGGCAGGGAACACTGGGCGTGGATGGTCGTGGTTGAGGTCCGGCAGCGAACACTGTGGATCGCGGATCGCAGTTGAGCAAGGACGACGAGGACGACGAGGACGACGAGGAGGACGAGGAGGAGGAGAGGAGGAGGAGGAGCAGGAGGAGGAGCAGGAGGAGGAGCAGGAGGAGGAGCAGGAGGAGGCAACTGACATAAAATCTAACAACCCTCACCTGGCAGGTGGGGAAAAAGAACACGTAAAACTAGAGGGTTTCATTGGGGATTTCATGGGATTGTATTCTTGATTCGTGTTGCCCAAGCTGGCTATAACACAAGCCAAACCATGCTAACAAGAATTATCAGCCAAGCTGAATGCTGGGGGCCAAGGTGCTCAGAATGTTCAATC